AGGCCACCTATGCCATAAAAAATTTTAATTTTTTATTTTTAGTTGGGTTACATTTTTAACATTAAAAAAAGTTAAAGTTTTAAAACAGAACTTGAAAATAAAGATTTAAATAAAAGTTTTATATAGATATTCATTTATTACATTTACTTTTAAAATTTTAAGAAAATGAAAAAATTTTGGAATTTTATATAATATAATGTTAAGGGGATATATAAAAGAAGTAAAAGACTACTTTCAAAATACACTGTCTTACGGAAATAAGAATTAAGAGGCAACATTGTCATAAATAATCAAAAACTCAAGTTGCCGCTATATTATAAGGAAACAGTATCTTAACATATCTAGCCTTAAAAAAACCTACTTTTCCCACAAAACTGTTATTAAACAAATATCTACTTTCGTTTTATTAATGTCCAAAGGATAAACGGGGGTCGCTCAATACAACATTTTTCATCAAATTTTTCTAATTATACATTTGATCAGAAGATATTGCATTCTTCGGAAGAAATTGTATTTAGTACAACATGTTAGAAATGTTTTGATCCTAAAGGAACTCGTATTTACCATATTGTGTTATATATATATATATATATATTATATAATATATATATATATATATATATATATATATATATATATTATATATATATTATATAAATATATATATTATATAATATAAACATATATCATTATTGTTATTTTTTTGGTGTTGATACATTCTGATCATTACTAAATTTATATATATTTTAATTTACTTTTGAAAGAAAATATTACATAGCATGTATGTTTTATGATATTGTTTAGATTGTCGATATTTAAAGAAGATAACTGTACTAAAGTTGTTTGTACATTAAAATACATTAAAATATATCTGTTGTCTGTAGTTTATAAAATCATTGTTTGAATTTTGTAAAACAAATACCCTTTAAAAATATCTTTATAAAAATGTGTTTTGTTGTATTTCTTTAAGGACGGTCAATGTTGCACAAAAATACGGTTTTTGAAAGCAAAACATTTCAGTCTGTTTATGTTAACATATTCCATGTATGTTTAATGAGAGACGTACCTTTATATTACATCTCTTTCGAGAATCGCCCCCCCCCCCGGGGGGGGGGGGGGGGGGGTGGGGGGGGGGTCATAAAATTACGGAAACTAACATATTTTTACCTATTTATAGATTTAACAAAACAAAATCATTACAAAAAGCTTTATTTCGCATTAAAAAATGAATGTACTGAAATTATTAGCCAGACTCATTGCGTGTTACACCTGATCGCTAATAACAGTGTTCCTTTCTTAAATATTGCACATTTCGACACAAGATAAAAAAACAAGGTTTCACCAAACCTTGCTGTGTGATATATCACTCTGCCATTCAGACAGAAAATTATCAAAAATTAATAAGGGTTTTCAAAATAACTTTGTCAACATTTGTATCGACATGGGTGATCTATCCCAATCAGGGTTACATTTGGCGGTATTAAATTCCATGTTTTGGTTGTTACAAAAGAAACATGTTGAAGTTTGTTCCCCGACTTGTAATTTTCTCTGTTATATTGCCCATCTGTGCTGACGGACTATATCCTGTATAATACTAAAATGAATAAAAAAATCGTAATAGACTAAACAATTATAAAATTATTATTGGTATTGCTATTTTATCAAATTTAATTCTATGATGGTAAAATTAGCTTCTTAAATGACACTTCAATGTTGACATTGTTTGTTATGCATAAAAAACACAAAAGGCTTTAATTTTTTTCATTGTGTATTTCAACCATAATAATATTTTACATCGATCACTTATGCGAGATTGAACAGAAAATAGTGTGCAAAAACGGCTTTGTTTTAATGATATGGAAACATACAAATCAGCAACGGAAGTGAAATTCCAGATTGATCATCAAAAAATTCTATATAAATTCATAAAATGTAATTGTTTTTTTTTTCGTTTTTTTTTTTTATGAAATGTTGTTTTTCGTTTATATTTTTAGGGATAACAACTTTCTAGAATCTTTATACTTTTGTGGCTTAAATTGTTGTGTTGCAGTCATAAAGGGGTTTGCCCCACATTATATTGTTGGCGGTGTTAGATTTTTATACTTTACAAACAGCAGGTGTCAAGTGTTGTGTGGCAGCTGTAAAAGTTGGGGCCCGTACTTCACGTCCGTGTTGTTATATTTTTTTTCTGGTCCTTTCGGGATCATTGATGCCAGCAACTATTTAAGTGTTAAGAATGAGTACCGCTCAAGGCCGGTGCTAGGGGCTCGAGGGGATGTGTTGCAAACCTTTTTCCTTTTCCCTCATGTACAGACTCAATCAAACCGAAGTCTTAATTCTCTTGTAATTTTGTTGTCATTAATGCTTCCTGAGGGATCACTTTGTCCAGATTTGTCATTTAATTAATTTGTTTGGTTACTTCGGGATCATAGAGCTGTGTGAGGATTGAACACCGTTAAATCGGTGCTGGGGGAGTGAGAGATGTTTATTTTTCATTATGCTTCTTAAATGAGATCTCCCCTTTCCATTTCTTTTGTAAAAACTCTGTTTAGGAATTTGCACAATTAGGATATAGACTTTAATTCATGTGTTTTAATTTTTGTATAACGGCAAAAAGTTTACCATTTAAATACGTTCTTGTGATAAGTCAAACTATAATACAAATGTAAATTGATGAATGTAATTTTCAGTATCATTTAAGAAATTTCTTTCCTTTCCTGAATACATTTCAAATTGTCAATAATATAAGTAACTGTGACACAACAAACATCGATCGAAAGGCAATTTCGGTAAGTGATAGGCCATGTTACTGTTTACACATCTATTTACTATATATTTATCATCTTGATGGAAGCTAGATATGTATACAAAACAGCTTCAAGCTTTAAGTAATTGGAAACCATTGGGGGTATTCCGGGTAGAATCTGGTGCTGCTTGTATTCTCTATAGATAAAAAAACAGGTTTTCATATCTACCTAGTTCAAGTTGGAGTCACCACATTCCCGTCCATTGTTCTGATATTTACCTCTTATGTGTAATTTTGAGAACAAAATGTATGATTTTTATCATGATTGTTTTGTTTTTTTCAGCTCTTTAGAAATCTCGAACCTACATACTCGTTCAAAAGAATACAGTATTGTACTCAACATTATATAATCACTTCATATTATTTTTTGTTCATCAAAAAATGATTTAAACAAGAATTGTTTATACCCGTGTATGTGTTGTTTTCAGTTATATATTAAGCATTATTTAAGTAAAAATGAAGTCAGACGACTTACTTTTATCAGAGTAACATTATAAATGCATCAGTAATACATCAGATCAAAAATAGTTCAAGGAACGGCTAGTTTGTTATGGTTTCCCTTGTGATTTGGAAACATATAAATTGAACAGACAGTTTATTAGGTTTTTACCTCAGTGGGAGAAGAAACAGACCAATGTTTTTGACGTTTCTTAATAGATAGAAACAATTTCTACGACCACATATGGAAAAGCTTTTAAGAGGCATCTGTAAAAGTCAAGTAAATCTAATACATCAGAAGAAATGGATTCATTTGCTGTAATCTTTTATTATAATACTTCTTTGAAATAGCCGGCAAAAATGAAAACAAATAAAAGTTTGATACTGGAAGAATGTGCTTGTATTTCTAATAAAATATGTCACACTCAGCTAAAGTTTTGTGATTTACCCTTTTATATAAAAATGCCCATATAAAGGTAAAATGCAATGAATGTTTTCCTTACTCATCAAATGAAAAGTTATAAAAATTTCTATGGGCCTTTTCAACGCTGGCATTTACACCTTTGAAAATATAATAACATGGATACTAATTGTTTTGATCTTAATGTTCATCAAAAAATGGACGGACATCACATGTTTGCTTAAAAACATTTTGAATTAATTAACACAAAACTATAGATCGTAACGATTGATTGACACTAAAACAGATGATAATAAAACTTACAATTTTGAATATTATAAATTGTCTGGAATGTAGATTCATCTTACCAACATACCGTACATAATACCGTGTATAATGTATTTATTATCTTTGAAATTAAAAGTAAAATCATCAAATATGATACTTTAAATTTGTTTTATGCCTTTGTGAAGCACAGTTACGATCTCAATCAGTATGTTTTAAATTAAGTTGACTCAAGTTTATATTTGAACCTAGGAACAAGACGTATTCTTTCTAGTCGGATTAAGGGTGTGTGTAAAAAATAGAATAATTAGTATATTCATAATGTTATATCGAAATCAATAATATGAAAATACCTTTTGTTTTTATGGTAAAATCTAAATTATAGAGAATTGTAAAAAACAAAGGCCCGCGTAAACTTGAGAAAAATGTAGTGAAAAATTTTATAACAATATTAAAGGGGTTTTTTCCCCTTGCCAAGCATTCATTTATTAATTAAAATCATATGGGTTTTCAATTTTGAATGCAGTCAACCGTAAAAAGGGTTTTTTAAAACCGGAGCCGTTAACATAAATGGAATTTTTAAACAGGGGAAACCAAGGTCATTTTAATACAATCTATCATAAAAGGGAATTTGGGACAAAAAATTTTATGAGTGTTTAAAAATACACTTCTTTTAAGTAAATAAATTTTACGTGAAAAAGGACCGAAGTCTATAAAAATTTAACCATAAAAATGCTTTTGGTGAAATAAGAAGAGTAAATTGAATAAAAAATTTCTGGTCTATTTTCATGAAAATAATTTTGGGAAAATTTTTTTCATGTTTATTACCCAAATGAGTAATAATGGACATGTTTTAGTTTTCTTTAAACTTATTTTTTGAATAGTTATGATCGAAGAAATAAACGAGTTTTCAGTACTTGGGTTTTCATTAACATGTAGAAGCCAATACAAGTTACGAAGCGAAAGTAACGAGTTAAATATAAAATTAGAGATTTATTTAATATACTTTATTATTCTTTCATTGTAATCATATTGTTTTTGTAGGGGAACATTTTTTTTAAAAATGGAACGATGAACCCACGAATAAAATGGTTGCTCGATGACACAGTAAACCATAGATCCGGTTTTCTTAAAGTTCCATTTATCAAGCTGTTGTGTTTATCTCTACTTAGGGGTTTTGGAACTGAAGCAACTTTATGCTTAAATAATCCGAAAGATATTGTAGAAAACTACAATCCAGAGGTTCGAGATTATGGCAGTACATCTTTGTACCTTGCTGGAAGTGCTGCACAGGGGTTTTATCTTAATACCAATGACTTTTTAGATGCGAGAGACATTGATATAGTTTCCATTGTAAAGAAAGATGTCAGGAAAGAGTGTCAATTCGATAAAAAGCAAGTTTATGGTGGGCAAATGGAAGTGCAAAGCGACAGAGATAATGCCAGAGAATGTAAAGAGACTGCAAAAGAAAATGTAACTATGGAATCGCCACCATTTTATCTAAATATTGAGACATGGGAGGACACCTATCCTGGTTATGTTATGCTACGAAAATGTAGAAAAGACGAACTTCCGGTTCAGACCTCACTTTCACATCGTTACGTTAGCAGCGCGGAAACAGCAAGGTCGAGAACTGAGTATTGGGATGAAATGCAGTCTATCTTGGCTGATATTTTTAGATTAGGAGTCGACGATGAATGGGGAATAGATACTTTAGTTTATGAAGATGTCGAATCACAGGGTCCAGCGGCTAGCTCTATGTTTACAAACATTTATCTTGATGTTCAATTAAATGCAGACCTAGTATTTGCTTTGCCATATCCTGACTGGCCAGACATTGCAGAAGAATGGCGTAATCGAAAGACTCTTAGTGGGTGGCCAGGATTGAAACTAAAGCAGGACATTGTTGAGTCTGGCTGTCTTGTTGTGCCTAAGGGACAAAAAGGAAGCAGGGTAGAAGACTATGAATGGAGAATATCGTTTTCTTTAGCTGAGCTCAAATTAGCAAAATCACTGAATACCGTACAAAGGGAAGTAGTACATGTACTTAAGGCATTTCTTTCAGACAGACACGAGGAAGGATATACAGGCATTGAAGCGAAGCTTGACTCCTACTTCGTAATAAATCTGCTTTACACAGAGATCGAGCAAACTGACACAAATACATGGACTGAGAAAAATATTGCAGACATTATATTTCGTATCCTTGATAAACTAGAAATAAGCATAAGAAATAAAAATCTTCCTCACTACTTTATTCCAAAAAATAACCTTCTTCATAAGTTTTCATTTTCATCTGTGAAGCTCGGTAAAGGAGAGTTCACTTTGGGATATTTTGATGAAATGATGGACGTCGATGAATATATTGACTTTGCCCTTTATACAATCATGCGAGCTCGATATGACCCCTTAAATCAAATAATGTTACAGAAGAAGTACGTACAGCTGTCAGGGCATATACGGAGGGCAGTGTTTGGACCTCTAGTTACACAAGCAAAGTCATCGTGTAAAGTTGAAGGCGAAATGTATTTTCTGACAGTTTTCAAACTTGCTAAGGCCCATTTTATTCAGTTCAGGTTTAAAGATGCCTATATCTATATTGAAGACGCACTAAAATTTTATGCAAAATTAAAGAAGCCTGAATTATTGGAACATATTCATAAAGAATTGCAGCTGTTAAGGGCAGTGTGTACATACAATATTGGTAATCATATGCGTTCAATGTTACAGTTTGACGAAATTGAAAATGGTGTCAAACATATGAACATAGAGCAAAGGAATTTACACTCTGTGTATTTCGCTCGTTCAATTCTTTCATTGATGAAAAGGGGAACTATTACAGAAGAAAACACTTTTATCTCTAAAATAGAACATCTTTTTCAAAAAGTCAAAGATTCAAGTGTTGACATCTCCCCAGTTTTACACTTAGAAGTTGTGAACTATTTAATATCTGATGGTCGTTACGAGGATGCTGACGCAATACTGTCTAAAGTAAAAGTTTTTCTGGGAATTGAAGACATGATTGAAATGAATACTGCCTGTAAGAAATCACCAGGGAACAATATCTAGTGAGACGCAGATTGAATCCGACTTAGAGAAATTAGCAGATAATTTAGATGTACTGACTGACTCTTCAAAACACTCCGAGACAGAAACAATGCACATCCAGTCAGACGGAAATGACGATCCAAAGGATACATGTGATCAGATCCAAGGGAAAGTCATTCATGAAGAAAAACAATGTAATCAAAATTATGAAGAAGATGAAGGAACGGCAGAACAAATGGAAACAAATCTAGACAGTGAAAGCATGGATACGGCATCTGAAGACATTGCTGAACGCCCATTGCTAAATAGACACGATAATCAGGATTTACTCAACCAGTATGCTTTGGTGCAAGCCTTTAAAAACCTAGGATTGGAGAAACATGCCGAGAATGTTTTAGACAAACTGAAGAGGAAACTGCATGCAAGACACACAGAAAACAAAGACGTGACATTGGAAGCGCTTGATCATGACTACACGTTGTATATGTCTTACAAAGATGTAGAGACCGTGCCAGATGATTTAGAAAATCCGCTTATAATATTTGAAGATAGGATAGTATTTTCTACGGGGGATGAATTCATCATCGACGATGTGTTAAAATATATAGTCAAAGATTTTGGATATGTAAGAATAAGCCCACGTGATCTTTATTTCCATTACCGTATCCAGCTTTTAAAAGTTGCAGGGAAAATCCCGGAAGCATCGTCTCTGGTAGAAAATCTCGAAGATCAGGATCTGGTTGTCAGTCACTTAAAGAGTTTAGGAGAAGTGGAAAAGGCAGAAGATGCATCATTTTATGCAAGATTGGACAGAGATGGTGGAGGCAGATCTGTCTCAAATACATTGAAGCAATGGATCGAAAAGTTGTTAGAAGCGGCCAGAAAATATGAACTAAGAAATATGTACCTTGATTCAGTTTTTAAATAAATCTGATGTATCGTACAATTTTGATTCCTATTAAACTTGTAATATTTAGTGTCCATAGGAAACTTATGTCCCAGTTTTAGTTGCCTTTAAATTGGCATATTTACAATACATGTCTACATATTTCCTGAAGATAAAAGTGTGTTATTAATAAAATAAACAAGAGCCATGTCAACATGGCCATCCCCCGCCGAATGTGTTTGCTCATTGGAAGAAATGTAAATGTAGTAAAGCAGAATAATTCCATTTTAAGAGGTCTTATGGTAATGAAAACTGATGGCTATAGTGATAAAAGATTTGAAACCTATGTGAATACTGATGGCTGAAAATATCAAAGGGCAATAACGGAAAAATAAAGCAGGGTATGTTATCATTTTTGTGTGCTGCATCCCTCCTCAGTAAAATATATCCACCTATGAAGTTTCAAGTTGATACCTCAAATACTTTTTGAGAAAAAAATTGAATTCAAAAATCAAGTATGAAAAATAACAAAGGGAAATAACTCAAAAATAATAAAAGGTAGAGTTATCATTCTAGTGCACTGCACACCTCCTGAGTTAGATCAATGCACCTATGAAGTTTAATGTTGATATCTCAAAGGCCTTTTGAGTTATGATCTGGACAAAAATTATGCAGGTAGAGTTATCGTTCTTGTGCACTGCACTCCTCCTCAATGAGATCAACCCACCTATGAAGTTTCAAGTTGATACCTCAAATACTTTTTGAGATTAGCTCCGGACAAAATAGCATGAAAAAGAACAAAGGGCAATAACTCAAAAATTGTTTAGGGAAGAGGTATCATTCTTGCGCACAACATTCCTCCTCAATAAGATCTATTCCCCTATGACATTTCATGTTGATATCTCAAACACTTTTTGAGTTATGCTCCACTCAGGTGAAAAATTAAGTATAAAAAATAACAAAGGGTAATAACTCAAAAATTATGAAATGTAGAGTTATCATTCTTGTGCACTGCACACCTCCTGAGTGAGATCTATGCACCTATGAAGTTTCATTTTGATATCTCATAGGCTTTTGGAGTTATGCTCTGGACAAAAATCAATTTTGAAAAATAACAAAGGGCAATAACTCAAAAATTATGCAGGGTAGAGTTATCATTCTTGTGCATTGCACTCTTCCTCAATGAGGTCTATCCACCTATGAAGTTTCAAGTTGATAACTCAAATACTTTTAGAGATATGCTCCGGACAAAAATGTCGGACGAACGGAGACTATAACTATATCCCCCGCCGCCTTATCGGCGGGGGATAATAATTATTACAAATAAATTTCTTAAACCTAAGAACTATTACTTGTTGTCTTTTCCTTGTTGATTTATGTTCTCATTATTTTTGGGGCAACCGTGGCCAAGTGGTTAAGGAGAATAAAAATCTGGTGATTGCCTCAAGCCAATGTCCTGATTTTATAGTTCAGAATAGAACGTAAAATAACAATTTCATAAGTAGATATCAATGTACAGTTTTTTTTTCATGTTCTATTCCTCAAAAGAGTTAACATTAAGTCAAAAACCTATGCAATAAAATTATCTTGCTTGGGCTTTTGGAATGTCCATTACTAGTTTAAGGAATTTCATAATCAAAATACAAAGATTTGGCAACCAGCAATATAGCATGATCACACTGTACATATATAAAGGTAGGTTTGTCCGTATGTTGGTAGTATAGACATGAGTCAACACCCCTAGCATTCTAGGAGGTAATTGTAAACACAACATCATTCTGTTTCAATATGTTTATTAAGCTATTCCATATAGTGTAATCATGGTAACAAATGCAATTAAATATATCATTTCTATAAGGTGTCACATTCGAATAACAATCAATTAGCAACAATTACATATGCCTATTAGAACATGTATTAAATCCAGCTGTTCACTAGCTCACATTTATATGACAATCGGATAGAAACACAATGAGCATGAGACATTCATCTAGAAACATTAGCTTATGACATTCAGTTGTCCACCAATTCAACTAGACAATACAGGCTGTAACACATTTGTAAACATATGAAATAAAATATGAAGTAAATGATATTCAGTTGTCAACTGGTACGACTAGCGAGTAACACATTCACCTCCTTACAATATTTATGACGGCGTTTATTCATTGAACGCCGCCTTTCCTTGTTGATCTTGTTTATCATATTTTAGCTGTAAACACCTTCGCGCGCACGTCATGACATTGAGCTAGAAACACACTGACCAGCTCAAAACAATCAACCAATATCTCCTTTTATACACAATCACAAATTCACCGCCTTATAACATTTAGCTTGGAACAAATACATTACCTTATAATATACAATAGGTAAAAATGCACAAACCTTAAAACATTCAGCTTGGAAAAAAATATTCTATAAAATTCAGGTAAAGAATCACTAGCTTACAACAATAGGCCATTTAATTAAACAACTCATTGCATTGCACCTTCACTGTTTATGATTAATTAGAGAAAGATAGAAATCTTGTTCAAATTTATTCTAAATTCAAGGAAGAAATAATTACCAACATATACCAAAACGTACATGTGTCTTGTAAAATAACGAGTAATCATAGAGGGACTAATTGAACAATTGTTAAAACAAACAGAATTTAAATGATTACAAAACACCCGTTTAAAGAGTACATTCTGTATAGCATTATTATATGACATATTTGTGAAGCAACCACTTTCCTTCACAGACAATCAAAGCATATTCATGAGATTCATTAATGTCTCCAGAATCTAGTGGTTTTTATTCTATTCATGGCTTTCCCTGAATAGAAGAATACAGACAAATATATCAATTAATACACTGAGAGTAGGTGGGTTATTTAACAAACTACAACAAAAAAGACAAATAACTTTTTGGTTTTTATACAGCAGTAAGTAGTTGATAAATTTACTTAAAAGTTCATATCACATCCTTAAATTGGTTTTTATATTTAATTAAAATTGAAAATCAATTAGCTTTCTGATATCACTAAAATTTCAAAGTAGACAAATTTTATTGAAAATTTAAACTTGTTTCTTTTATTCAGTTAAATCAACCACTAATATCCTTTCTATCAATATCAGGTAATAACAATGAAAGCACTTGACAACATAACCGCCTATATATACAGAATAAAAATGAAATGTTCGGATAATGGTTGGCAAAATAATGTCTATCACAGATAAAGCTTAACAATACAGAAATAAAGGGTAAAAATATGAACGCCTCTGTACATAGAGATAATAAATAACTATCATGTACAGTAGCTGCAAATTGGCAGAAATATGAGGACATTCTCAGTCCTCTATTGAACAAAACTGATATACACTGCTTACAAATTAAGACTGAACACAACATCAACAAATACCTGCATATGTAAGACAACAATATCTAAAAGCATGCTTCGTAAATTTGGTGTTTCATGAGGAAATGATAAACTTTACCAATTACAATTGTAATCATTTATACAACAACAAACAAATAATGTAATACACAGAAATTACAGTATAGAGAACAAACAAGACACATAAGGAGTTCATTACAAAAATACATACAATACAAAAATACATTTTGTAACATATAAGTGTAATCTGCATTTCTCCAAGTGCAATTACTAGTATGTTATACATGTAGCATTAAATAACATCACAGAACACAACACAAACAAAATGGAATTTCTTCAATGGAATACATAAATATATGACTTATGGTACAAAGCTTTAGTTTTATAAAATGCATAATTTGATGTGTATCGATACAACTTGGAATGTATATGAAATTTAAGTGTAATTTATACCTATGATTACTGATACAATATGTATATTTTTCAAGGTGCTTGTTTTCAAACCCACTTAACTTACTAATACTACGAATGTTTACGACACTAATTGCGATTGTATATACAGCACCACGTCATCATATCAAGGGGGAAAAGTGTTTTTTAACAGTATAAAAACTTACTTAAACATGATGCTTTAAAAAAAAATACAATGTTTAAGAATTCAATTTTGTACACACTGCTATTTCACTGATATCTTTTTAAAAATATTTTTGACAAAACATGATTTTTCTTAACTTTTTTTTTATTTTAAAAGAGAACATTTTCTTTAATATAATCAGTGTAAACACATGTCTTATGCTGGATTGTACTTTCGCAAAAACATGTTAAAGTCCCTGTAAGATAAAAAATTTTATAACAGAAAAGGTTGTGGAATTTCAAAACAAATAATACTGAAATCTATTAAGTTTTCTCCATCATAAATAAGGTAAGAAACATGCTGATCAAGATTCCAGAGTGGTTTTGGCTTTTATGAACCAGACACTAAAAAAATCCTCCTGTTTCAAGAGTAGATGGACTCACAACTATGATATGACAACATCCTGTCTTATGTTATGATATTATTACTCAATATTATATATCATGTTCATTCATCATACTCATGTGCAAGGAAATGATATAAAAATGCTGCTTTCTTCATGTCCTCAGATCTGGCTTGGTGTCGACGTACATTCTTTGATACACTGGACAATCTCACTGGTGGCGGTCGCAAAAATACATCACCAAACATTTGAGCTGAAAAATAAACATACCAATATTTAAACGAAAAAAACAAATATGCATAATGACACTTGCACCTGTTAATAAGAATAATTACAGTTGGATCATTAAAAATACAAAACACAAACAAGAGTGCCACTGTAACAAAATATGTCATTGCAAACGCTCAGTATCACAATACATGTAGTTAACATTTACAATAAAATCCCTCAATACATGACGACATTTTAATTTTTTCTATCTGACCTTGGAACTATGTATGACCTTAACATTTTACACACAATACTATGCCTCCTGATGTACTTTTATGTCAATTTATGTAACAATAACTGAATACATGTAGAAGTTGCATTATGGACAAGTGTTTTCCACCAATTTCTAAATATGACCTTGACCTTTTAACCTAAAGACCTGGCTCATGTTTGCAACACTGCATGTTTGCAACACTTAGTCTCGTAACTGTGAACATTTGAGTCAAAATAAACTAATATCTCTATGTGCATATAGAAGATATGGTCCAGATAAATTGTCACAATAATTGAAAAACTTGCACAAATATTTTCTTTTTCATTTTTCTATTCCATTAACAAATGCCTAAATAATTACATTCTAAATGGAACAGAGAGGCACATGACAAGATCCAGAAAATAAAACATATCTGATACATTGTAATGCAGCGTATTTACTTGTCAGATGTAAATTATGTAAATTTAATGTTGTAAAATTCTAGTTAACATATATAACACAGGCAATATGTCTGCTATAAAATATCATGAGAGCTCAATCTGATCTCTTTATACATCTCAGACACAATTAGCATACAAACTCGGGGAAATTATGACTGGAATGGAGCATTTAATGCAATATATAGGCCACAATACAGACTGTGTATCGAAAAATAGTTATAAACTATCAGTCTATTTAATAACAATTTCTATAAAACAACATACAAATGTTTGTCACTTAGGACTTCATTATTCATGAAACTTGAGAGAAAGATGTTTTATTTTTTACATAGAACCTCCAAGGAGAGATAAATTCATTATAAATATGCTACTTAAATTTTGTTGCTCTATGGGGAAATACGCTGTAGATAGTAGTAGACTTTTAATTGAAAGTTATGATGATTATTCAGGGGACATAACTAAATGAAATTGCAAGAAAAATGTGCTCATACAAGTTCTCCCCCTTGGCATGTCTGGAAACATGGATTTTCATAGTTATTTATCAGAATCATGAAGAGAACTTCTATGCATCCTCAGTGCACCTTTAATGTATCATTGCACAATAAAGCAATTTTAATGAATGTAAAAAAAAACTTTTAAAATTGAAATATTTTCACTGTTTACTTACCTAAGTATTTTATTTCTAAATTATTATATTTAGATTCTTCAAGAAGCTGCCTAAGGAAGGCACACAGATATTTAAATACATTCCTGTGACAATCTGGTACTTTTGATACCACCTAAAAAAGATAACATTTAGAATATATACACATGAAATCTGCAACAAAGGCTAAAATTTACATTGATAAACAGAATTATTTGAAATTTACAAGAAATAAATAATGAGCAAAAACAAACAATCACATATATAACTTCCATTGATTTTGAAACAAGATGTCGAAAGTTCTGTACAGAATACATAATAAAGCAATAACTTAATCATTCAAATGACAATAAAATCGCCCCTTCTTCCAATTTGATAATTAATATTGTATTAAGAAGTAGAATGAATGTTATTCTTACCTGTTTACATAGTAGGTAATTGTTAGCACACTCTAAACAAGTTTCATAGAGACAATATGGGATGACCGGCTCTGCTAAGGCATCCAGGAACAGAACTAGAGCCTCCGCCACTGAATGTATACTGCCAGCTAATTATAAGTAAAGGTCATACAGCTTCTTCGGATGAAAAAATTCACTGTCATGATTCAAACCTTACAGCAGTGAGGGGCAAGTGATTTGAAGTCAACGACATTAACCACTTTGCAAAGTATGCCCCCAAAATATTTAAAAACTAGAGGATGCTTTTGTAAAAAAGCGCATGTCTCCCCCACTGCTGAGAATAACTGTGAATGGAAACAGGAATGGAAATGGAGATAAGATAATGTAAATACCCGGTAGTCACTTCAATGAAGGCTGTCTATGGATGGTTTCTATTGTTAAGGTTGTATGAGAAGATGCTTCCTAAACTGTTTGTTTTTAACCAGGTATTCAATTTTGAAAATCCTGGTTATTCAATCAGCGTATGGCAGGCGGGCGTCAAACGAAATTGCACTTGATGGTCATATCATATAAAGTTTCACAAATGAAATTAAATGAAATTGTGTCTGCTCCATAATTCTTCAAACCTTTGTGACCTTGACCTTTGACCTACTGACCCCAAAAACAATAGGGATCATCTGCTCTATAAGACCAATCATCCTATGAAGTTTGAGGGCTGTAGGTCAAAAGGAACTCTAGTTATCATCCGGAAACGAGAAATTGACCAACGGTCACTGTGACCTTGACCTTTGAACTACTGACCCCAAAAACAATAGGGATCATCTGCTCAATAAGACCAATCATCCTATGAAGTTTGAGGTCTGTAGGTCTAAAGGAACTCTAGTTATCATCCGGAAACGAGAAATTGACCAACGGTCAGTGTGACCTTGACCTTTGACCTACTGACCCCAAAAACAATAGGGATCATCAGCTCTATAAGACCAATCATCCTATGAAGTTTGAGGGCTGTAGGTCAAAAGGAACTCTAGTTATCATCCGGAAACGAGAAATTGACCAACGGTCACTGTGACCTTGACCTTGAACTACTGACCCCAAAAAACAATAGGGATCATCTGCTCAATAAGACCATTCATCCTATGAAGTTTGAGAGCTGTTGGTCAAAAGGAACTCTAGTTATCGTCCGGAAACGAAGAATGGACGGACGGACTGACAGACGGACGGACTGACGGACGGACAGGGCAAAAACAATATGTCTCCCCCTGAGGTGGGGGAGACATATTAATGTTGAATATTAATTGAATATAATTTAATGAGTTTTTATTTTCATATTTGTTATATAAATATTTTCACTTGAAGAATATCTTTAACTTGTTTTAATGACTTTAAAGATAAAATAGATGATGGAAATATGTAATATAGGCATAAATGTAAACTCTCCCACTTAAAGTGGGAGACTCCCACTTTCTGCAGCCGTATTTTCAAAGATTTTTCTTAAAATAAGGGGTATTTTGACAAGTTAAAGAAATCTCCCTAATTTTGATGTCAGAACTTCCTTCTTTGTTTATTGCAAATTCTTAAATCTCCCTTTTTTTTAAGAAAAATCTACCACTTGATCATCAAAAAAAGTTCACATGTATGAATATAGGTGATGACAATGTGTAAGACTATATTAATTAAGGATACGTAATGTTTCTGGCACCCCAGTATCAAGACAATCTCTAATCTGGTGTATCTCAGTGTTTAATCCTGGCTGCATGAATAAATCTTCCTGCAAAATTATACAAAATATTTGTTGGCTTTTATGTAATATAAACAATCATTTCATTGTGCGACCATCAAAAGTGAAAATTTATAAGAACAAGATATGTTTGTAAAACATGTATGCCCCCTATCAGCAGCCAATTATTCATGTGATAAGGTAATTATGCATGACTTCTGACCCAGTGATCAAACAATTAATAAGGGTTATCAAGTATCTACTGGTCATGACCTTGACCTTTGACCCCTTGACCCAAAACTCAATAGGGGTCATCTACTGGTCAAGACCAATCATCATACCAAGTTTGAAGTTCCTAGGCCTAAGCGTTTTTAGTTAATTGATCAGAAACCGTTTTTACTTACAAGGTCAATGTGACCTTGACCTTTGACCCCTTGACCCCAAAATCAATAGGGGTCATTTGCTGGTCATGACTAATTACCATGCCAAGTTTGAAGTTCCTAGGCCTAAGGGTTCTTTTATTATTGATTCCGAAACCGTTTTAACAATAACAAGGTCAATGTGACCTTGACTTTTTACCCCAAAATCAATAGGGGTCATCTGCTGATCATGACCAATCACTATGCCAAGTTTGAATTTCCTAGGCCGAAGCGTTCTTTAGTTAATGATCAGAAACCGTTTTTTACTTTACAAGGTCAATGTAACCTTGACCTTTGACCCCCTGATCCCAAAATCGAAAGGGATAATCTGCTGGTCATGAAAAATCACCATACCAAGTTTGAAGTTCCTAGGCCTAAGCCTTCTTAAGTTATTGATCAGAAACCATTTTTACTTACAAGGTTGATGTGACCTTGACCTTTGACCCCTTGACCAAAACTCAATAGGGGTCATCTGCTGGTCACCACCAATCATCATACAAAAGTTTGAAGTTCCTCGGCCTAAGCGTTTTTAGTTAATTGATCGGGAAACTGTTTTTACCTACAAGGTCAATGAAACATGACCTTTGACCCTTTGACCCTAAAAACAATAGGTCATCTGCTGGTCATGACCAATCACCATACCAAGTTTGAAGTTCCTAGGCCTAAGGGTTCTTAAGTTATTGATCGGAAAGCATTTTTACCTACAAGGTCAATGTGACCTTGCCCTTTGACCCCAAAATCAATAGGGGTCATCTACTGATCATGACCAATCACCATATCAAGTTTGAAGTCCCTAGGCCTAAGGGTTTCTTTCGTTATTGATCGGAAACCGTTTTTACCTACAAGGTCAATGTGACCTTAACCTTTGACCCCTTAACCCCAAAATCAATAGGGGTCATCTACTGATCATGACCAATCACCATATCAAGTTTGAAGTGCGTAGGCCTAAGGGTTCTTTTGTTATTAATTGGAAACCGTTTTTATCCAAGAGGTCAATGTGACCTTGACCTTTGACCCCTTGACCCCAAAATCAATAGGGGTCATCTACTGATCATGACAAATCACCATACCAAGTTTGAAGTTCCTAGGCCTTAAGGTTCTTTACTTATTGATCGGAAACCGTTTTTACTTACAAGGTCAATGTGACCTTGACCTTCGACCCCTTAACCCCAAAATCAATAGGGGTCATCTACTGATCATGACAAATCACCATACTAAGTTTGAAGTTCCTAGGCCTTAAGGTTCTTTAGTTATTGATCGGAAACCGTTTTTTGCTTACAAGGTCAATGTGACCTTGACCTTTGACCCCTTGACCCCAAAATCAATAGGGGTCATCTACTTGTCATGACCAATCACCATACCAAGTTTGAAGTTCCTACGCCTAAGGGTTCTTTAGTTATCACTCGGAAACCATTTGGTCTACGGACCGACGGACCGACAAGTGCAAAGCAATATACCCCCTTTTCTTCGAAATGGGGGGCATAACAAGATATGTTTGTAAAACATGTATGCCCCCTGTTGGCAGCCAATTAGTCATGTGATCAGGTTTATTATGCATGACTTCTGACCCAATGAACAAACAATTAATAAGGGTTATCTAGTATCTACTGGTCCATGACTAGTCACAAGGTAATAATTTAATTGTGCCCTATAGGTTGTGTGCAGCAATTTTAGTTATTACAAATCTTACCAAATAATATATGCATAAATTTTTATGAATCATGTAGGCCTCAGTTAATGACAGCCAAGTTGTTATATTACATAAGAACCTTCAAATGTGTATACCAAAAGCATTTTTAGCTTTAATATAAAATATATCAATCAAGGCAACTTGAGTAGTTGAGTTATTGGTCAGAAACTGTCATTAAGTACAAGGTCAATATGACATTGACCCCTTGACCCCAAAATCAATAGGGGTCATCTACAGGTCATGACCAATCCATCATACAAAGTCTGAAGTTCCTAGGCCTAAGCGTTCTTTTAGTTATTGATCGGAAACTGTTTTTACCTACAAGGTCAATGTCACCTTGACCTTTGACCCCATGGCCTAAAGCTCAATAGGGGTGATCTGCTGGCAATGACCAAATATCATACCAAGTATGAAGTTTCTAGGCCTAAGCGTTCTTTAGTTATTGATCGGAAACCGTTTTTACCTACAAGGTCAATGTGACCTTGACCTTTGACCCCTTTACCCAAAAAATCAATGAGTCATCTGCTGGTCATGACCAATCATCATACCCAAGTTTGAAGTTTCTAGGCCTAAGTATTCTCTAGTTATTGATTGGAAACCGTTTTTTACCTACAAAGTCAATGTGACCTTGACCTTTGACCCCTTGAACTAAAATCAATAGGGGTCATCTGCTGGTCATGATCAATCACCATACCAAGTTTGAAGTTCCTAGCCCTAAGGGTTCTTTAGTTATTGATCAAAAACTGTTTTTACTTACAAGGTCAATGTGACCTTGACCTTTGACCCCTTGACCCAAAGCTCAATAGGGGTCATCTGCTGGTCACGCCCAATCATCATACAAAGTTTGAAGTTCCTAGGCCTAACCGTTTTTAGTTAATTGATCGGAAACCGTTTTTACCTACAAGGTCAATGTGACCTTGAACTTTGACCCCTTGACCCCAAAATTAATAGGGGTCATCTACTGATCATGACCAATCACCATACCAAGTTTGAAGTTCCTGGGCCTAAGGGTTCTTAAGTTATTGATCGGAAACCATTTTTACCTACAAGGTCAATGTGACTTTGACCATTGACCCCAAAATCAATAGGGGTCAACTACTGATCATGACCAATCACCATACCAAGTTTGAAGTTCCTAGCCCTAAGCCTAAGGGTTCTTTAGTTATCACTCGGAAACCATTTGGTCTACGGACCGACGGACCAACGAACGGACAGACCGACAAGTGCAAAGCAATATACCCCCTCTTCTTCGAAGTGGGGGCATAACAACTAAACATGCTTGACCCAAGATTTAATGATCTTCTATCAATGACCAACTTAATGATCAACTTTTTCTATCTATCTTATCTGTAGATAAAACATATAGCAAAGATCAAAATAAAACTAAATTGTATATCTATGAATTGGAGAAAATGAATCTGTAAATTATTGTTTACTAGTAATAAGTAATCTATTTGATTAGTAAGTAAATGTAATAAGTGATCTCTGTAACTTTAAAATCTACCAATCATTACAGTAGAATATTGTAGTTAGCTTAAAGTACAGACGATAAAAACCAAACTGAATAGTGGTAACAACAAATACCCCCTAAAGACATGAAATTGCCAAAGATTAGCTTTCATTTATCACACAATTTGTACCATAGAATTACATAAAGTGTAAAAACCTATGTCATATTCAACGATAAATCTGTTTATCTCGGAAATGGCAACATTAAGTCTAGACTAAGCGACCAGAGGGTGAAGCAAAATTACTGAAATACTAAAGTAAGAACTCATTAACTGTATTGCATAGGTCCACTGTGATTGCTGTACATCATTTCTACCACTAATGTGTATTGTATCTGATACAATGCCATGAAAAATATTTCTTAACAAGGCTTGATGTTAACTATACAACACTGAAATCATTCACTCAGCAAGTTTAATCTGTTAGGATGCTCCCTGCAGGTTATTTAAGGCATATAAAATTGAGAACTCCAAATTGAACTTTCAAAATTACATGACTTTATATAGTTTTATTGAGACAGATTTCTGAATTTAACGGAGAAAAATGTCATTTGAATAGAGGAAAATAAGACACAATGTCTAGAAGATGCTAGTTTACATGTATCATAACACAACCTCTAACCCAGATATTGTTAAACTCTACTAAAAACTCAATATAAAATATGTTCATAATGCTATCACAGCATTTTGAACACAGATTTATTTCTTTAAACAAGTATAGAGAAGATTATTAACCTAATTTGAAACATAAATGCAAATCAGGCACACTACTGTACTGCTGTACAACATTAGCTTGATTCTTATACAGTAGTATAAACAGACCTGGTGTCTACCATACTGCCATATATGATCCACAAGTCGGAAGATCTCCTTTGGACAGGCATATAGTCGGACACCTTCCTTCAAAATGTCTACATGATCTAAACTACCCGGCCTTTCCTGAAATAATAAAACATTTATGATTTTATTTCATCAAACTTCATTCAAAAACTGTATGTGAATTCATCCAAAAGTTACATCTACTTTTAAGTTAAATACAGCACAGCTTTGATTCCCAGTGATGACAAAATCATTGTTGACCATGCATGTTAATGGTACACTCAAGAAAAAAATATACAAAAGGTATAAATTTATTTCTTTGACAGTGTATTTAAATAATATGAAGTAAAATTCAATTAGTACATTTATTTCTAATATATGTACAAGCAAGTATATACATTTTGTAGGCATACTCAGTTTATTTGTATCAAATACTTAAAATAAAGGTTTTAAATAAATTTTCTTTTAAAATTCTTTGTACCATTATGTATGTTTAAAAATTTAAATGGTATAGTGTTGGTTTTGAAAAAATTTTCCAAACTCTCCCTTTTAGATTGTAAATTTGGAAAAACTCCCCATCTTAAAGTGACCCTTTTTTTTTAAAAATTCATGGAAAAATTTTTTAGCCCTTAAATGTAAAATTGGATATTCACAGAAAAATCCCTTTTCCCCCTTTTTGTTTAAAAGTTTACATAAACTGCATATGTTTAGATGAAATTACAATTCTAAGTTGCTAATACACTATTCATTGAATAAAACATCTGGCAAATTTTTACCTGAGAAACCTAAAATCATCATCCAGCAATTACATCTTCTTATCTAATAATCAGTGCCTATCATTTTACATTGCATATTCAATATTGTTTAACTTAGTAAATGCATATTGAAATCAAATTAAATGGTATGCATTTTATCTTTATGTAAAAATTAGTTGTGTGAAATTAATTCACATATTAATACATGTATATGATATTTGAGCATGATTTATCTTTTTTATTTCACTTCCCTTTGTAGAGTTTTCATTACTCAGTTATGTATCAAGTATGAAATATGACTACTCCCAGTGGGGGAAATAAATGAATCTTGTCAGACTGTGAGAATACATCTTAAAATAACAATAATATATGCAAGAGCAAACTTTTTACAATATCAATTTCAATACATGTACTTCCTCCAATATCTGTTGTATTTAAAGTCACACCAACACTTTGAATATCATATGACAACATGTCTGTATAGATTATAAAGGAAACCTATATGCTTCTGTATTATATTACAAAGTCATGTGATCTACAAAAAGCTTGACACTATGGTGGTATCATTATTATTTATGTGTTTGTATTTAAACAAGAAAAGGAAGATGAAATGAGTCATATCTTACAAGATCCACCAGTTGATCTGTGGGAACTTCTCGTATTGGACCATGCATCTGTACAAGAGCTTCTATTGATGAACCAAAACTACTTACAATATAGTTACCCGTTATTGGAATGTACATAAGGTTAAGGTGTCATACAGAATATGTGATTAGTTATACATATGGATCCAAATAGACTCATTAAATTAAGTGTAAGACTAATAAAAGTGTTGGAGCACCATAGTAAATACCGTATTCTGGCATATACCAGACAAGTCGCTTGAATAATCAAAAGCTAAAAATCTCGCCTTTCCATCCAACAGAATAGAGTTTAAAACATCTATTTCATCTCATAACACCAATTATATATATAGAATAATGAGTGAAGAATGTAAGAATCGGTGAAAAAAGTGCTATTTTTTCCATTTTGTGATCATGATTTTTTTAAGCATCTAGAGGTGTTGCTCCAACAGTGTAGTTAGTTAAATCCTTAAATTAATTGGTAGTCATCATGCTTGCACTCAGAAATAGCAAATTTGAAATAATATAAATAAAAGTCTTTATTACTATAACAGTCCTTCAAAATAACTACATATTTCAAAAATATTATTAATAAAAAAGTGTTTTAAAAATTTGGGAAAACCCTTTTTAAAAGAAAAAATTGTGTTAAAAAATTTAATTTTTAAAAAAGTAGAAAATGATGTTTTAAAAACATTTAAGGGAAAAAAGGGTCTGCAAAATGTTTTAGTAATTTGAAACAATGAATTTTTTGAAACAGGGTTTTTTTAAAAAAGGGTAAAGAAAAAAAAACTTTGCCCCCATGAAGATGCATCACAAGAATATCTTCTATTTTTTCATGTCCACAGTTGAACCTGTATGCTAATGTTTTATCTACAGTCACCTCTAAGCTTATCTCAGTACTGTATCCTGTCAATATATAATAAATAATATACACTGTCTTAAAGTTGAAGATGAAGACCAGTTCTAACCATTTTTAATATTAAAAATCAAACCCTAATTTTTTTATTGGGCCCCCCTTTTAAAACCCTTTTTTCATGCTAATCAAAATTTTAAAAACATGAAAAAATTCAGTTTTAAATTTTTTTAAAAGGTAACTTTTTTAAAAATGTTCTTAAAAGGCCCATTTTTTATATTATAAAAGTTTAAAAAAACTAAATTTAAATTTAAAAAATAAATTTAAACCCGGTGGTATTTACAGTTTTGAAATGGGGGGAATTTCAGCCCCAAAGGTTTTTCAGTAATTTAATCTTATCCAAAAATTTTTAAAGAACCCCAAAAGGCACAGGGAAACCCAAAAAAAAAAATGAAAAATTTAAAAAAACCCTGAGAACCCCCAACCAAAATTTTAAAACAAATTTATTAAAAAATATTTTTTCTGAACTACCAAAGTGAAATTTGCAGATAATCAGGGTGGTAGAAAAAGAAAATTAAAAAACAATATATTCAACTAAACCCAAAGTGTTCATTGTACCTTGTGCCCTCATTATATATTTTTTGACTGCAAAAAATTTTTGTTCTCGAAAAGGGGAAGTGTCAAAAAACCTTTTCCTTGCCCTTTAAAAAAAAAAGGGGGAAACTAATGGTTAACTTAGTCTTATTCCTTGTCAATTGACAGAAAGGACAAGGATTTTACACATAGTGCCATTGAGACCTTTGACCTAATGACACCTTTGTCAATAAGGGTCAGCTACTAGTCATGACCAACTTAACCCTAGAACTACAGGCAAAAGCATTCTATAGTAATTAAACTGACAAGATTTCAGTGATCAAGTGACCATGACCTTTGTTCTACTGACCTCAAACTCATCTCCACAACGAATCTTTGGACTATAGACTATAGTGTTCTCTTTACTTGTAGGACAAGCTTTAAAAGGTCAAGGCCATGGTGACATTGACTTTGAACCTAAAAAAATCAAAAGAGGTCATATTCTTGTCATGACCAGCGTCCATAGGCAATGTTACTATGGAATTATATAAACCATAGCTTATTGCTTGGACAAGGAAGGGGTAACATACATATGTACAGAATGACCCCATTACAGAATGCCAGGACTGCATGTGGATAATATAATGCATGCCATTGTAATACAAATGATTGATCTGAAAATAAACTGTTACAGTCATGAGATACATATTACAAATTATTAACATTTAAATAAACATACCTGTCCAATATTAGCCACTGCAAGAATCTGTTCCTGAGGTTGAGAAAATTTAACATCATGGAATACAAACTGGAAATATACAACAATAAAGACTTTTATTTAATTCTAACAGCAACGACAAAGAAAGGCAACAGCAAACAACAATCAAAGAAAATAATAGAAATATCTTATTGAAAACACCAAGAATCTTATTACTTTTAGTCATAACAACTCATGCATAAATAAAAGTCACCGGGAAACAAAAAAAAAGTGAATACAAACTTAAATTTTGATTCCCAGACCTGATTTCTCCCCCCACCCCAACTCAAAATATGTCACTTGAAAGTCTCTACCAGTCTCTATCGGTCATGTCTAACAATGTAAATGAACAATTTATAACAATACCTACATTATTTTAAACTTTATAAAAGGTAGAAATACATGTTTTTTCTTCCTTAGATTTTGAAAACACAAAAAGAAAAGAAAAAGAGAAAAGAAAAAAAAACATTTTTTACTCAATGAATACCTTAACATTTTAAGCCAGTATCATTTTGGCTTGATGAAAAAAAAATCAACATCTTATATACAGAAATAAATAGATAACATGTTAAAGTACTTGATGTGTAACTATGTCAAGTAGCTTATATGAAAAAATTGTCAACATAGTAATTAAATGAACAATATGAAATTATCTCTATATCAGACAAGTGTTTTTTGACAACTGTTTTATACTTTTTGATTTCTCTAACAGCTACACTTTTAAATAAAATTTTGAAATAAAACATACAAAGAATTTGTTAAAACTTTAACTAATATTATTTCAAAACAGGCCTACAATTAATGAGAAGATTTTGTTGTCATGAAAACAAGAGTTACATATCAATGTCCTGTTTAATGAAAAACTAAGAGAGAACCACTAGAAATGGTGTCTTTAATATTTCTAATTCTATAGTAAACTAAAATAGCAGGTTTTGTTAATATATCTCATACTCGTGAGCTTGTAGATTTAAAGGCACATTATGCCTAGAAACAAACGAATATTTCTACTTCTTTAGAATGGGCAAATATAAGTATTAAGCTTTGGTATATGAAAGACTAGTGCTAATTTTGAAATTATTTGTCATAAAGAAAAGTAGCAAATTGTGAACAAAGAAGTATTTAGACTTCTATACAAAATACTAAATCACTATAACTGAGCTAATTGCTAAGAAGCAACAGAGAAAAAAGATGGTTTAGATGATTAGCAAATTAGTAACTTTTTCAAAACTTTAAAAGTACATCAAATATAAAAAGCTTTTGAGAAATAAAAATTAAAACATTTCTAAGGCATAATGGGCCTTTAAACTTTTTATATGAAGATAAAAAAATTACTGTGTGTAATTTATTATCATGCATTGTTAATGGATGCTCATATTACGTTCACATTATCTCATACTGCTGAAAAACACTTGATACAGTCTGCACATGATAACTTTATCATTCAATTGTCTATTTACCATTGAAAATTCTTTCTTTTTTTATTTGTCTTAAACAATCACTTTTAGTGATTCATTTTTAAGCATATAAAAAGGAACTTAACGCTATAATTTACAATGAATCATGAATGAAAATCATGACATGTTCTTGGTCAATCCTATTTCAATGATAAATTATTGTTATGTAAACAAATTGTATTTTAATGCTGCATTTTACAGTGTCATACAGCCACTACAAAGACCATATATTGATATAACTTAAATAAATGTAAGTTCAGTAATCCAGAAAAACATATTTAAAAACAATGTCATAAAATATGTGGAAAATTTAATTAAGTCTATAATGTATGAAATAGAAGGTAGTCAAATTCAAAAATAAGTGTGACATTGTCACAAAATAGAGGTAATAATTAAATCCATCCATGCATGTTGAAGATAAGATTGGTACAAAACTATTGTCCTCACACCTAACACCAGGTGTGATCGACCATTTTTTTCCAAATGGACATATAGAAATAAGTTTTGTATAAAGTATATCATGTTATAAAATTTATGCAGCATCACTAATTAGCAAGGCAACTTATTCAAGAAATGAAGAACTTTAAAAGTAACTTAATGGCAAAGACAAAAATGTACCAAGTTTAACATGTAGGCGCTGAATAAATATAAATGATTGTAGTCAATCAAACTACAGTAAATGAGTACATTAAGTATAAGAAATAAGAACAAACCTCTTTCTGTGCCAGCGTGACCTGAGGTAGATAGTCATTCTCTAGTCTGTCTAATTTCTTCATGATATCTTCATACACCTTCTTGTAACGCTGTCTCTCTACCACTTTGATCTAACAGGAAGTTAACATATCTCAAATATTAGAACATGATTAATACCAACAATAGGCCAGATAATCTAAATATTGATTTCTCAGGCACTGCTAAATATTAACCTATTGCCGAAAGCTTAATAAAATCTTACTTGAGATCTTTTACCTGGAAACATTCCAAAAGTAAGGCTCAAACATACACCCCTGGGCGTAGAGGCTGACATTATTAGATAAGATACTTGCACATATATATTTTATATATAATCCATCTACAAATTAAAACCACAACATTTTGGATGCATACCATTGTACTATAAACAGCAATAAAGATAATGAAATAAGAAATTAATACTTCAGCCTTTGATAATTTAAGACTGTAAACACTTTGTTATACCCCATACTGCTAGGTATTTATTTACTAAAACATCTGTAATTTACTACTTTTATTATGTAATCATAAACCACAATCGTTTTTGTAGATAAGAGCTATTTTGTTTGATAGATATTTCTCGCACAAAAAAATAAAACAAGTTCTTATTGCAGTTTGATAACATTAATTCAAACAAGCAAAGGAATCATAAAATCAAATACACTTCCCATAACATTTCAAACATCAAACTGTCTTATGAAAATCTTATATACCAACATTTATGCAGTATCTTACACAGAAGTTGATGGAATTTATTTATTTTATTATTGTTATAACAGTAACATCAGGTTACTCATAAAAGTTTACTGAATTGTACTCCCTGGCTCCAAAATTAAGTTTAAACCTATTTTTTACATTTGAAGTATAGATCTAATATACAAATGTACAATGCAAGACTGAATTAGTGATATTTTTTTATATCTTGTTACTATTTATGTATTATTTTTCACTAAGATATGAGTTTACATATTATACTAATCTATATGCTTCATACTTTTTAAAAACATAAAACATTTTCCGATGATAGTCCTGCCTTCATAGTTTTTTTCAGCCTATAACTAAATGAACTTTACTTACATGTAATTTTCACCCTGCTTAATTTGTATTGTTTTTGAATATAGGTATGCATATGAATAGTTTAAAGCCTTTATTAATATCAAAATACTAAAATTATCTTAATCAAGAACACAAACGATTTTTGAAAAAACAACATCTATTTAACATAAAAGTATGGATTAAAATCAGGGACTGTTTAATTTTGACAAAATATTTGTTATCCCAAACTTGGCAAAATTTAATGTGGGTTTTTCCGAGCTTATTCACCCATAGAAACTTTTACTGTTATAGCTTCATGGTGTACTACTACAGTAAACTCCGCTTATAACGATATTCAGGGGACATACAAAACTATATCGATATATCCGAATATCGTTACAACCGAATTTCTGTACGGTGTGTAGCTTACTGACGATGCACTGCATCGTTCAACATGTATAAGCAGTAGCATTACATACTAGACATGTGACAATCATGTACTTACGACAAAACTTTATTCTTTTTATGCATATCAATGTTGAATGCAAAAAAATCAGTTGCACATCAAAATAAACACAAAACTGACATAAACCGAAAGTAATATGTACACAGGTACTGGTAACCTTACATTGGCTTAAATTTATACACTGTAAAAAAAAAACGTCAAAATTAAATTGCTTTTTTAACTATTTACACTCATGGGTAAATCTTGTTTAAGTTTTGTTCATGTACAAAGACATTCACTGTCGGAAAAAATCAGTTAATTTTGTCTGCTTTTTGGCTTTCCTATTTCAACTGAAAATTTCTCAAGTTCATGTAAACATCCGAAAACAGAATCACACGAATCAGACTTAGAAAGAACAAAGCGTCTGCAAGTGTCTATAGCATTAAGAAACTCATTCATGGTGGGTGGGGGGTCATCAACAGTCTCAGAATCACTCTCTTCGTCACTCTGCGACAGGGTTTCAGCGGGTTTCAATTTTTGCTGTACCTCCGCTATTATATCGCTATCGGACTTCTGCTCAACGGAGACAACATTCTCATCGGCATTTATGTAATCATCAAAAGAAATGTTTTTGTCTATGTCACTGAATACTCTAAGGCGATTCCATTTCGATGCCAATTCAGCCAGTGGAATGTCATCGTCCTCGAACTCGTCTGTGTCAGACGAATCGGAAACATGCCCCTGCGGGGTCGCATTAATTTCATGCTGTGCTCGATTCATAAATCCAGCCTTTCTAAAACAATTCTGGATACACGTCGGTGTTACATCTTTCCATGCCGCATAAAACCATTGTATGGCTTTTAGAATGTTAATCTGTTTATCGATATGTTTGTCTAGACAAGAAATAATATGGTCAAGGACACATGACCTGTAATGTCTTTTGAATGAAAAGATAATCCCTTGATCACAGGGCTGTAACTTAGATGTAGTGTTAGGTGGGAAAAACAACAGTTTTACAGCTTTTAATCCCTCGATTTTCGGATGGGCCGGGCAATTATCAACAAACAATAGAATAGATCTTTTCTCACGTGTCATACGTTTGTCAAGTTTTTTCACCCAACTAAATATAAATAAATATTTCTGAGTTCATCCAAGCACGACGATTAGCTTCGTAATCTACCGGCAAACTTTTAACATTTTTAAAACATCTAGGATTTTTGAATTTTCCGATTATCAAAAGTTTAAGTTTATCAGAACCGTCCATATTTGCGCCGATAAGCACTGTGATTCTGTCCTTGCTTTGTTTGCCTCCAAAACATTTTGTTCCTTTTACTTCTAGTGTTTTATTTGGGGTCATTTTATAAAAAACGCCAGTTTCATCGATATTTTAGACATTTTTTGGTTCATAGTCCTTGATCAAACTTGGAAGTTTTGATTGCATCCAATTTTCAAACAGCGCCATTTCAATGTCTCTATTACTGGCATGACGCATTCGTTTACGGGCTGGGCTGAACGACGTAGTCTCGTATGCATTGATGACAGAATCTTTATTTTTCCAGATTGAACTTAATGTGTTTTGTTTAATTCCAAAATCGTTTGCAATGTCCTGTTTTTTACGTTTACCAAGATTAATCTCTTGAATTAATTTATATTTAGTTTCAATATCCAAAATTTTTCTTTTTCGTTTTTCTGACATGTTCACTGTTTTAGCTACATGTACATGTATAACTTATTTACAACGAAAATTGTTATTTAAAGGAAACAATAAAAGGAAAAAACCATGCTTTTATTTTTTGAGATGAATTCACCTGTATTGAGAACAAAACGGTAGTTACGTACGCACAGAACATGTTCCGCATCATTGTATTTAATCAAGCAGATATTTATGCATTAAAACAAGCGGACCGAGACCGCTCTTCCACAACAAACTTGTGCAGCAAATTATCGTTTTAAGAGGTAATATATGTGCGTTGGGGTTGAAAATCCACATCGATATATCCGAAATATCGATACATGCGATATCGATATATGCGAGGATGCTTCCGTTAGGTTATAATGGAAGTTGGCAGGGACCAAGACAAACATATCGATATAACCGATATATCATTACAAGCGATATCGATACAGTTGGAGTTTACTGTATTTACAATAGATGAGTCAACCTGATACTTTTATTTTCAAAGTTGTAACTGTTAAAGTTTGTATGTAACCCAAGATAAGCTGGTAATATTAGCAGTGTGTATTGATTGTGTCATTTCAAACACCTTTTGCCCATAATTATAATACTGTAAGTCGTACAAATATGTTAGTAAGTAAGTATAAAGTCTATTTACTTTAAAATATTATTACTAACAACATTAAGATTAGCTTCATAGTTGAACAGTTTATGTGCATGTTTATCCTGATAAGTTTCATATCATTTTCACTGTTATTTAAATAATCTATTTGGTTTAAAATATATATATAAGCATGTTAAGTTCATCATATAAACAATGAACACTTTTTATTGTTTGTTTCATTCATTAAAAAAACATGTTACGGTGTCATATTATTTGCTAATCTTTCAAGTATCCAAATGTCATGTTTACAAAATATCAACTGATGTTCATGATTTGTAACTCTGATATTACCTTTGATATTAAGGATCAGCAACATTATTGCCTATTTATGACAGTGCCAATTCTAATGGGAATCCAATGAGTATTGTTTTGACATGATGGAAATGGATATATTTTTTACAAGATTTATGTACATGTATGTCTGAACCAAAAACTTGTGTACAAAATTTTAGATCATTCCCCGCCCAACAATGTTTTCCAGATTTATATTTCTTATTCACGAAGGCCCAAAAAAGAAAAAAACATTTCATGCTTTTAACATTTGTAAAACAAAACTTCCTTTTTATTGAAAATTATTATCACTGGCTTATAACCCAAGAATTGTAGAACTCAGTAATTTAAATTCCATCAAAACACTGATCCTTTAAAGTGAAAATCAAAATAAAAACTGTCAGTAGGACAGCACTGGACAACTCTCACTGATTAATATAAACAAGAGCCTGCACAATGTAGGAATTGCCTAACATATAGGAAGATTTCATTCAAAATACAGGACAAAGTTACAAATTTTGGATACCGATAGTGAATCAGGAAGTTTGTATGTTCATAAAGGGCCATCAGGGCCAAAACACCATTTTTGGGGAAGGGGCCTCAGCCTTTTTCTTGGGGAAAATATGCGTGATTTTGGCATACTTTGGGGACAGGGGTCTCAAATTTAAAACAAACTTTTTACAAGTTCTTTATAATAGAATTAAGCAAAAAAGCACTGGGAAATACTAATAAGACCTTAATTCTACACCATCATTTAATTTTGTTCTAAATTTTAAAGGAAATGTCAAAAGACTGGGGAATTTTGAGGACCAAACTGGGGAAAAAAGAGGCTAGTTTGGTTGGGGAAGCAGCCTATGTTCGGCCTCTAGAAAGAAGGGTTTTTTGGCCCCGGCCATTTTTTTTTTTAAATCCATGCCAACTTTGAAAAGTGACCTTCCATTATAACACACAGACATGAATAAAGTTTCAAGTGTAAATTTTCAGTAATTTTGAAGAGAACTGATGTTGCACCCAATTTATCTAAATCTGGAATTTTCAAAATTTAAAAAGCCTAATGACTCAGTCAGAACCCATGTTAGAGTTATGGACCTTGAATAGTGACCTCAAAGACATGAGTAAAGTTACAAGCAAATACCTTAAGTGGATGATGAAATATGAAGATGTACAAGAAGGTGCACCCATAACTTAAACTTAAATGTTATGCTGGGGACTGGCTGAGCACAATAGACATGCTTTCCTTTGAAAAGTCTTGCTAAAAATCTGATAAATTTTAAGTAGCACAGCCATATGTATTTAAGTTTACATTAAGGTATCAAAACATTTTAAAGAAGATCAGCAAAACATATTGACGGTTTTTAAAAATGTTCTTCAACAAAACTGGAGCCTATTAAGCGGACCAACTGCCCAGATATGACCAAGAATATGTTGAAATTGGCATAAAAACAAAGAAACAAAATCATATTTTCCAAGTACAGGTGTATGTGTCTGGTGGGCAATCTATTTGCTGCACAAAGATAAAATCCTTTATCTCATTTCACATTATACAAAACTGAACCTAAAAAAATCTGGTGATGTCCACAATCGGATAGAGACTGAATAATATAAGCCATATCTATTCTGACAAGAGGCAAAATAGAGTGATGTCCCTTGATCTTTTTTTCTTGATAACAAAAACAAGCAAAGAAGCATCAAGGGCAACATTGTCACAATATACACCCGTCAAAAAACTTTTGACAGAGATGTGGGCATTATAGATATGCACATAGGAGATATGCTCTGGGCAATATCTGGATATACTATCATCTCTAGTGATTTTTTTATCTGAACTTTGACCCCTATGGGTGACCTTGACCTTAGCCGCAGGGATTTAATTTTGCACACGACACTCCGCCTTATCATAGTGAACATTTGTGCAAAGTTAATACGCTAGTTTGTTGTGGTTCACTCAAGACTTGATGTTGCATGAAAATCACATGGGATAATATAAGCTGGTGGAGTTATCTCCCTTTCCTTTGCTTATTTCTATTAAGTCACTTTTAACCTTCGGCAGCTTAAAAATGTGTTAATGAACTGGGGCTGTTAAATAAGTCAAAGTCCTGATGCCTCAAAGTTTTCAAACAATTCCCTTCAATTTTGTAACAATTAAGTACTTAAGTTCTACTGTAACATACACAGGAAAGTTAGTTGTCTTAACTCTTTTTTTCTGGAACACTGATAACTATATTCCTATAGCAATTAATTCCCAGTATGCTACATATTTTCTATGAACAATGAGACAGAACAGAACTGAGCTTAAGTTGCGGTCTCACTTACTCCAAGCAGAGCCCCATAAGTTACTTGGATGATCTGGGACGATCCGGGGTGAAATTATTTTTGCGGTCACACTTACCCTGGCAGCACTATGGTAATTCCCAACTTACACCCAGGATGTGCCCTGGACCATCCAGACAGAGCCAAGGTGAAGCTACTGTTCATGCTGGTGCTTCCCTGGTCATTCCAAGAAGACACCGGCAGAGCCCTGAACGACCCAGGCAGAGCCCCAGTCCATCCAGGCAGAGCCCCAGCAGAGCCCAGGGCGATCCCGGCAGAGCCCGATTGGAACACCGGTGGATTGAAAACGGGCAAAATGATGACATTGATACATAACAATATATTTTCTCCTATTCAATAAGTAATTCATGATGATTTTCTGAATATTCCTTATGCAAGATTGGACAGAAGGGAAATCTAATACAAACAAGTGCAATCATTGCAAATAGCTGTTTTTCTTTTGAAATGATCAGGGCTTTGCCGAGGCTCTACCGGGTTTAACCTTAGCTCCATCGTCATCCTCTGGGGCTCTGTCAGCATTCATCTCAGCTCCACTATAGCTTTATCAGCTATAATATTCCCCAGATCATCCCCGTTTTGTGCTGGCAGAGCTACGGTGCTTCCCTGGTGTAACCCTGGTCGTTCCCGGCAGAGCTAAGGATGAAGCCGGCAAAGCGATACCTTCCTGGATCATCCCGGACCACCCTGGTAATATCAAATATTTTGTTCCATCCAGGGTCGTAAGCCCGATGTTCCCGGATCATTCCGAACGTTGCCGACAGAGTAATGGATGTACCCCGGTTGTTCCCAGATCACTTGGACGTCTGCCGGGATGTGAGACCGCAGCTTTATTGACTGATTTCAACCAAAGTAGACAACTTACAAGACTAGATGGCATAATATAAGAGAATGATGGTAAACACTTACACCGGCATCAAATATGGCACTAACAGGTTTATGATCACTAATTCTGAGTGTAGGATGAGATCTATAGATAATTTGACGACAACCATCTCCTTTCCATAATATACGATCACACCAGGCTGGTATACGACTCTTTTCACTGCAACATATAAAATAAACATCATATTATTACTATTCCAAACATTCAAATTCTATGACATAGATTTGAAGCAGAATGTTTATTAGTGTAGAGAAATAAATCCCTATGTAAAGTTATCATTTATACAGATAAAAACAAAAACCAGAGCTGTCTGTAGGACAGCAGGCTTGACTAATCTTAGTGCTTGATAGTAGAAGAACCTTGATAATGTAAAATTTTCTAAGTTAACAAAAGGGCCAAATTTTTCTTTAAATCCATGTTACAGTTATAGGCCTTGGAGAGAGACCTATAATGCTCTCAAAGAAGTGTATATAAATTTCAATTTGTTTCAAAGCCAGATGTCAATGGAATATGAAAATATCCGAGGTGGTATGCAAACTTTAATGTAAATTCTAAGTAAAAGATAGAGTTTCCTCCTCTTGTCTAGAGATTGGGGGCATGATGGTGAACAAGTGTGCAAAGTTTCAAAGCAATATGTCAATGGACTTTGAAAATATTTGTGGTGTTACAAAAACTTTAACGTAAATTTTAAGTCGAAAAAGGGGCATAATTCTGTCAAAATGCTTGATAGAGTTACCTCATCCTGTCTACCAAATGGGGTCATAATGGTAAATAAGTGTGTAAAGTTTCAAAGCCATATGTCAAGTGACTTTGAAAACAGTTGATGTGTAACAAAAACTTTAACACAAATGGTTACGCCCACACCGATGCTCAGGTGACTAAGATAGCTCTACTTATTCTTATTGAATAGTCGAGTTTAAAATGCTGTATCATTTTCAATATAGTTGATTTCAGGTTGATATCATGCCTCAAATTAGCACAGTAAAGGTCAACTTTCCACTTCACTGGTTATGCCCCTCTATTCTGCGGTTTTTCCAAATTTAGGCATGTTTTTATTTCTGCGGACTTTATTTCTGCGGCACATTCTTTTGACAAAACGTGATTTAAATTCTGCGACTCGTCTTATCAAAGTCTAAGTCACATTTCTCAACCTATTTTTTGGCACTTCACATTGGTTTAGCTTCGTCACCGCAAAACAATAAAGTAATTACAAACAAATGTACTGTTTGCTTGCAAACAAATATAATACGCAACAATAGAAAGGTATGCAGCTTTTGATCATCGTGAAATGACTTGTGAAAAATATAACCCTGTAGTATCTTTAATTCTATAATTAAAAAGTTGATAGCAGTTGACCGTAAATCAGATGACAATTATAGTAGACGACGATTATTTAGCAGTATAAGGGTTGAAATGGTTTGAAATAACTGTATTCTTAAATTAGTATCATTAACAATTAGTACGTCGTTAAAAACACAGATTACATACTAAGCCTGCAGCAATTTAATACAATTTGAAAACCCCCTTACCGTTATAATACGTTAGTCGTTATTAATGTAGATGAAACAGGTCATAATGCAGGACACATATCGTAGCAGGTGAGTGAAATATTCTGCGGATTTTATTTCTGCGGTCATGAAACTGACCGCAGAAAACGCAGAAATAAAGTCACCGCAGAAAAGACACTTATACGGTATTATGTCAGGCAATAGCTAGCACCTTAACAGTGCCACCAACCTACTATGTTAGATGGATAACCTTCTTATATCACATACATGTATGTATGAAGTCTATGTTTAATGAGGGTCCATCCGCCCATTAAGGCACAAAAAGCAACTTTCGTTGTTGAGTACGGACCCCTGACATGTCACCAGTCATGCCCTTAAAGAATTAATTTTGAAGTACAAAGTGGTGATATTTTACCTCCATGCAATATCCATGGAGAATTAGCCAAAGATATGAATATTGAGCCATAATGACCTAAATTACTCCTGCACACATAGGCACATAAGGTAAATACAAACCTGGAATCAAAGTTATCTGTACCAGGATCATATTTATATGTAGGTTGAAAGTTAATTGCTCCCTCTGTATAGGTTTTATATACTGGATTAGTAGTTAGCTGACTATATAACTGAAATATTCAACATTATTTTTCAATTAAAAAACTTTATATTAAGTCTGAAGTCAGCTGGGATTTATACAATAGTTTCTAACAGTATGATGCATTTCATTAAAACATTTTATAACATAAACATTCACAACAGGAGACACAGTTTTTTGCTGAACAAGTCTGCCTCTCAACAGTGGTTGAAAGTGGTTGACAAATTTTGTACATACACATGTCATAAATGCTAAAGAAAAAGACTTATTCAGAGTGATTAACATAAGCTTCCATTATAATCATCAAATTTAAATTCATAAATTCAAAGTGAAATAAACATTTAAGCATTATTTTACCAGGAAATATAAAATTGCTATCCAAATTTTAACCATATCAATGTCAATACACTCTGTGGGATATAAATTAGGACATGCAACTATCAACTTAATAAGCAGCCTTAGACCGATGTCCAAATTATAGCCATTTAATCAATTAGCATAATCATTAATGTTTAAATCATATATCAAATGCTGATATTATCAAAATTTACAATGATTTATTTTCATACCATCATGTTAAGGCCATTAAGATACAAAAGGACTATTAAAATCTTACACCAGTTGGCTTATATTTCTCTTATTAACACCATTTACTATAGGTAAAAATACCATTTCACAATGATCAACATGACAAAATGTTGACATGTGAGTCACAATGGACAACAAAATACCATAGCTTTAATCTCTAGTTGCTTGTGCTATTATATTATGTTCCAGATACAGTGTACATTTATAGAGACAAAACAACTAAAGGAAAATATTTTCTAAACAAGGGGAATTGTTTCCCTTGAATAAACTGACCTGATCTTTAGGTAATAATTTATTAAACGCTCCTTTGCTAACATGTTCTTTCACATCATTAATGTCCATATCTATACGGTAATTCAGATCACCCAGCCAAAATACAATGCTGAAATATAAGATACCAAAGCGGTGTTTGTTGTACACATTTCCAATGTAACCTGATTTATAAAGCTAAATATAGGATTATTTTAGAAGTTCCAACAAATTTTACAAAATTTTGATACTACTTTGGAATTCAAACATTCTTACAATTTGGCAATATCTAAAGCTTCCATCATTTTTTAAACTTACAGATCAATACATTACATGGAACAATACTGGCAATATAGTAGTTCCTGTACAAAAAGCACATTTATTCTTAAAATATAAGTTCACTCACTAAACATTGTCCAGTTTTGACAACACACAGGTGAAAGTGATCTAAAAACTTTATTTCCCTATTTTCAAACTGGCACATAGAATTTGTCAAGATCAGATGTCAATATCAAAGGATGCAAGTAAAAATCAAGTCTTTATGTGAAAAATGTGGGTACAGCTTTTGTACAAAAACTACTTGCATGCCAGTGGTTGGTACTTAATAAATCTGTACGACCGTTAAACTTACTCATGGTCATGTACAGTAAGAGGCGGCAGAAACTGTCGGAACTTCATTTTACTTTCTATATCTTGAGTGTCCTATAATATAAGTAAACATAATATTATTATCATATATAAACCATAAATAATTTCCCTTTGTTAAATGTGCACTGTATGTTTCAAAAACATTAAATAAGTTGGTGCTCCCTATTCTTCTGTACAAAGATGTAAACTACATGTAATAATAGGAGAGTGTTAGGCAATAGTGTGATAATGGGTCAGTTATAAATCAAATTATTCAAATATTCTGACAAAACAAGTGAGGAAGGTGGAATTTTTTTTTTTTTTTTTGAAGAATTTGAGAGAGGAAATGCCTTTTTAAATGTTTTTTTGTTTTTTATTGTGTTTTATGTCACACTAACAAGTTAACAAAGTATAGGTCACATGACCACATTCCAGTTTTACTGATGGTCGAATACCTCAGGTCCCCTCTATGTTACTTCAGGCACAAATGGACACCACAGTAGAACCACCAATGTTTTGCAAGCTAGCTGGAGAGCTTTTTCACATGAAAGAATCAGAAGATGCTTGCATGGTTTGCATGGGGTGAAAGGCAAGTGGTTTTAAGTCAACAACCTTAACCACTCAGCCCAGACTGATGTACTTTCAAGCATCTATTTTTCTAACAATATTTACTGCCTGTGAACAACAAGCTTTTTAAAATATTACACTGCAAAACATCACCTGCTGACGATTTCCTTCCATTATCATAATATATGAGCATGTATCTTTAAACTAAAAAGCCAGTTATATGATAATAAATGAGTTAGTTTTTCATTCATGATTTTTTATATACAATAAATGTAAAAAGAAAATGAATTGGTAGGTTTTGCCTTCTCATTTTCTCACACAATAAACGTAACAAAAACCTACTTGATTTCTTCTTTCAATTTCACCCTGGTGTGCAGCTAGATGTGAGTTGATGAAACATATTGATGTATCATGTAGAGATAGTCTTACACCTACACCACCTTTATTCCCCTGTATCAACAATAAATCAACAATTATAATCACTTGAAATGTATCACTCGAAAGAAAAATGTGTTCCCCGAACATAACAACAATAACAAATCTAATGATGTTTCTCTTAGAATAGCATGCATTCTGATATGTGCATAGAATAAATCACATTTTAATAAATTTTCTGTTAACAATTACAAAGATATCACAACTTTTGTGTGTTGAACTTGGATTAGTCGAATTTTCTTGATGTGTCGCAATAAAATGAGTAATATATTCTTTATTAAACCTATATATGAGTTGAATGTTTAAGTGTCCCCTTTTTCGATGTGTTGACTATTTTACAAGTTTCTTAACATATTATTCAAGAACATTTTACCATAAATAAGCCCATTCATTTAACATCTTCAATCTTGAGATATTTCTAACACTTTTTTACTGGCTGCAAAGATTGCGGATCAACTTGTACAAAAGGCATTAATTACAAAAAACCTCAATGGTGACATGCAAGTGATTCAAGTACCAGCAGAATTATGTTATATACTAGTTTTATATACCCGGGAACATTATTAATAATTTAACATTATGATTATAATAATAAGAAGACAGCATACCAACATTCCCATTATTCCAGTAGGAACATAATCTGTGTCAATCAACTTCACATGCTCTGCATGGTTTTCTTTCACATAAACAATCAATAACACACCAACTAGTCTTATAGACTTTACCTGTTGTAAAAATTATATGTAGTGAAACACATGCAATCATTTCAAAGGGAAGTTTCATGAAATATGTTATCAAAATTTACATTCAATTTATTACAGATAAAGTATGAACCTGTTACTTCTCACATTGTAAGTGAATACTCTATTACTATTCTATCAGAGCCAATTTTGCAAGTTTGGTTTTCAATTTAGGTCATATGGCACCAAAACAGGAAAGATGATTTTGGTTCACTTTGGGTGTTAAAAATTAAAGCTACTTCACCTGCTGGAGCTAAGGGATGCATAGATTCCAGTAATTCAGACCATTTAGTCACCTCTTACAATCACGCAGGGTTAAATGGTGGCTGCAAATTTAATGACTCACCCAGTTAAGGCAACCAACCCCTCAGCCACAAAGGGCTTTTAGGGCCAAACCATGTAGGGTTTATTAAATTTCAATATACTGGTAACAAACTTATATGTATAACATAGAAAATAATGGTATGCACATTCCCTTTAAGTGAACCCCAAACTTTATATAGTAATTACCTTCTGATATCTGGCTTTAGGATGTAGATTTTTGTGTACAGCATCTTGCCATTGTGATTCCCTCACTGAATCACTGAAAATGTATGCCTGGTTACTAGTGTCCAACTCCTGAAATCTAAATATAACAATATTATCAACAATGTGCTAGCTTTTACAATCTACTAATCATATAATAACCCCGGACAGGCTGAACATATGTAATGGACATGTCTTTATTTCTTTTTACAATTAGCTTATTTTTGTGTACATCCGATGTTTTTAGAACAGAATTTGGTCATACTGCCTGAAAGTATGTTGGTCTGGCTCTAGACTTATAATATCTGTCTTATGTTGCAGTTCAGATCGGAATATCCGAGGGAGCCCGTCCATTGGGCAGGTTCCAGAGGGACTGATATTCCGATCTGAACATATGTCCGAACATGTGTCAGATATTTTTCTTGCATATTTTACCATATTCCATCATATTTTAATTTTTTTACCTTAATAAAACAATTTTCCATGAAAATTTATGTCATTACAACCATAACTATTTTCTTACAACTGCGTATGAAATTACAACTTCATTCATAATGGCAAATTGCGTCATCCTAACCATGTTATTGTATAGCACACCACCCATCTGGCATCCCCTATGCCAGATGAAATTTCCGGCATTGGTAAAACTAACAAACCTGGCAGAAAACTTCAGTTAGTTGAAGGTGGCCAGTATATTGGAAGAAGAACAGAAACAGCAGATATGCAAGAAAGGTTGTTCTGTCTCTAGACTGGTGGCAGAGATCTGCTTATTACAACTGTGATTAAAGGTTACTAAAGCACATATTCCTGCATTTCAGACAGGATTTTGTACTGTTTACAACAGTGTAACAAAAGTCACATACTTTATATGACATCAGTTAAGCATGCCTTTCATGAATGAATTGCATGCTTACGACAACAATATGTTGCCATTATGAATAGATATAAACCATTTATATCTTTAGGAAAAATGTGCTAAATGAAATAATTAGTTTTTATAATTTCTTTCCAAAATAAGATAGATATGTAATACTCAAGAACAAAAAATCAAACAGTGGCTGTCATCACAGATGGGGGTATCAAGGTAACTGGAAACATTGCAGAGATTCGTTATCACCATAAACGGTTATCTTGGGTCTGCACCAGAAGCCAGTGTATGATTCTTATATTGTCCATTGTTATTGATACAATCATAAATCTATCTTGATAGTAAATCCTATTTATTAAAAAATTTGTAAAACAAAATAAATGAGGAACCCATGAAATCTGCACATGCAATGACTATGACAATTCAGGAGGAGTTACATACCCTACTGCATACATGTCAGGAGGTTCTTTATCACAAGCTAACCATTCTGCTAAACTCCCTGCATTCTGACCATTTACATTCCACGTTCCAACAAATACTCTGTTCATAGAATAATATATCAACAATGTTGCAACATATAAATGCAATGAAAACTTGTTTTATCAAAAATTTCATATATCACCTTAGTGCAGTAATTGGTTAACTCATTAAATAATTCAATAGGAGGTAACCCATTACTGCACTAAGGAAACTTTATATACAGGTATCTATTGACACAATCTCTTTCTGTCTATATCATCATTGAAGACAAAGACAACAGATCACAAGATACACTGAAAACCTTGAATTGTTAGGATCCTATGAATTTTATTACAGCCAAAATTATTTTAGTAACAAATGATTAATTTTCATGGATAGTTTAGATGAAACAGTATTTGGTAAACATTGAAAGTCATGTAATCAATAACCACAGGTACTATAATTTAAGAGTATTCTTATATATTTAGAGTGGTGATTAGTAATTGATGTGCAGTCATCATTATAACTATTCACTTTAACAACTTTATTACATGTAAATTACTGACAAACCTCAAAAAAAAACCTGACTACAACATATAAGTATTATACTCAGAGATAAAAAATTCCACTAGTCTGCTTGTAATTACAAATAGAATTTAACAGATTTTGATGCAGGGCAAGCTGAACAATATTGCCTGCACATTGAATTTAATAGCTACTCGTCCTGCAGGACGAGATACTCTGAAAAATATTTTTGATGCCTGATAGTCCACAGAAACATATAACACATAGATTTTTTGTATAGAAAGTTTATATTGAAAGATTACAAACATCATCAAACTGTTAAGTGTAACACAAAATACATAGATACTCATTTAGGGTATTGACAAATGTGTCTTTTATTTCAGATTTTCTCTAGACATACCTAAAACTGACCAGATCAACATATTCACTCTGTCTTTCCTTCAACAGGTATTCCACCAAGGTTTCTCTCGCAGTCAGAGGTTTAAGGCCGGCAGCCATTTCAGTTCCACTGTTCAAATTCAACTGACGTTGGGCCACTTTATCTAGAGATTCAGTGAATGTGTTGGCAGCATCACTGAAATTATATTTTATATGATTTATGTTTTTTTATTTCATGTTAATTAATATTGAGACAAAAAACCTTTTGCAAAACATGTAACTATGCTTCGAATTGTCAGTATTTATTTACACATATTTCCTGCTGAATATATGTGATATACTTGAACTGCTTTGAACTGTAAGTTTTAATAATTTGATATGAAAATAATAAAACTGAGAGGCAAACAGTATTAAAGTTTTGTATATATCGTAATTTGTGTTAAGAGTTACAACCTTTACTCAGATAGAGTAACATCTTTGATATCTTTAAAATTGAGTCAAAAATGGTGCATAACTTTGCAAAAATGAATTTCTGAATTATCTGCCCTAATGAAATGGAGTCATGTTATAATATACAGCAGGTATTCCAAGAATGAAGTGAATAACTATAATACATGTAGTTTCAAAGACAAGAGCAATCAGTGATCACATATGTCGCCTCATGATGGCCAATTTCATGTTGGGACAAGTTTTGTGACAGACGGACAGACGGACAGACAGACGGACAGTGCAAAACTAGACTTGGTACTGATCATTCCTGTAAAGTTTGGATAAAATTGCACCAGTAGTTTATGAAATTGCATAAGTGGTATAAGAGAAGTAGTCAGGACAAACTTTAAAAATAAAAATTATTAAAGGGCCATAACTCTGACAAAAATCATTGAACCGGAAAATGCTGACAATATGCACAACTAGACTTGGTACTGATCATTCCTGTAAATTTTGGATGAAATTGCACCAGTAGTTTATGAGGAGTAGTCCGGACAAGCTTTTGTGTATCTGGCAACACACAGAAAAAAACACCTTTTTATCAAAGGGCCATAACTCAGCCAAAAATCATTCAACCGGAAAACCCGTGCAATATGCGCAAGGACTTGAGCTACAGATCAATCCTGTAAAGTTTCATTGAAATTGCATTAGTGGTATAAGAGAAGTAGTCAGGACAAACTTTAAAAATAAAAATTATTAAAGGGCAATAACATACACTCTGACAAAAATCATTGAACCGGAAAATGCTGACAATATGCACAACTAGACTTGGTACTGATCATTCCTGTAAAGTTTGGATGAAATTGCACCAGTAGTTTATGAGGAGTAGTCCGGACAAGTTTTGTGATGGACAGATGGACAGACAGACGGACAGACAGATGACGGAGAAATGATCCCTAGAGGCGACACAAAAATGGACATGAAAAAAAAAAGTTATAAAGGGCATATATTGGCAAAATTATTTTAGAATTATCTTTCCACCCATGTAGATAATAAATATGTATACAGTAAAGACTGTCTTAGTGACACCCTGTATATAGCGACGTTCCGTCTTTAGTGACCATAGTTAGGTGCGACGAAAAGTATTTACTATATAAATGGTCTGTAGGTAGCGACCTCGTGTCTAGTCCGTACAACGATTATGATTTAGTCACCCGTTATGGTATTTGAGCCGTGAAAAGCGACTTTTGCAAGGGGAGCAGGGCTTGAACTAGTTGGCGACTTGGGCGAAGAAGTCGTCTTCGGATCAGCGACTTTGCCTAAAACAAACTTAAAAGAGATTTTGAAGTCGCCCGATTTTTATAATTTTCTGTCATACTTATTTATGCCGCTAGGTCTGTTAACAATTAGTTTACCTCTCAATTACAACCAATTACCGTTAATCCGCTAGTTAAAGAACGATGTCAACATCAACAAAGTCTAATACACGCCGCAAGGCAAGAGTTCACTATGTATATCTTTCTCATTATGTATTCATGCGATTGACGAATCAGAACGCGCGTTGTATCTATGGCAGTTTGCATTGACCAATCGGCGACAGGCTAATACACTGTGGCTGTTTGTTGACAATTATAGACAAGAGGGCCATGATGGCCCTGAGGTCGCTCACCTGTATATAGCCCCCCCCCCCCCCCCCGGCCCAATTTTTACCCAAGGGCTTTTATTTGTTTATTTGAACAGACTTGGTAGACACCCATAAGAAGATGTTTCATGCAAAACATCTAAGTTCTAGCTCATTGGGTTTTTTAAAAGAAGATTTTTTAAGTTTTTACTATACACATAGAGTAAAAAACAATGACACCCCTCGGGCAGGGCCAGTTTTTGACCCCTGGGCTTTTATTTGAACAAACTTTGTAGATATTTACTTAAAGATGTTTCATGCTTAATATCTAAACTCTAGTTATTTGGGTTTTTTTCAAAGAAGATTTTTAAGTTTTTGCTATGTATATAAGGAAAATCAATGACCCCCGGGGCGGGGCCAGTTTTGACCCAGGCTTTTATTTGAACATACTTGGTAGACACCCATTAGAACATGTCTCATGCTAAATATCTTAGCTCTAGCTCTTTGGGTTCTTTTAAAAGAAGATTTTATAAGTTTTTACTATATGCATATAAGGAAAATCAATGACCCTGGGGAGGGGCCAATTTGGACCCCAGGGGTTTTATTTGAACAAACTTGGTAGACATTCACTAGAAGATGTTTTCATGCCAAATATATAAGCTTTAGCTCTTACAGTTCTTTAAAAGAAGATTTTTTAAGTTTTTACTATATGCATATAGGGAAAATCAATGACCCCCTGGGGCGGGGCCAATTTTAACCCCAGGGCTTTTATTTGAACAAACTTGGTAGACATTTACTAGAAGATGTTTTATGCCAAATATCTAAGCTCTAGCTCTTACGGTTCTTTAAAAGAAGATTTTTTTAAGTTTAAACTATATGCATATAGGGAAAATCAATTACCCCCAGGGCGGGGCCAATTTTGACCCCAGGGCTTTTATTTGAACAAACTTGGTAGACATTCACTAGAAGATGTTTCATGCCAAATATCTAAGCTCTAGCTCTTTGGGTTCTTTAAAAGAAGATTTTTTAAGTTTTTACTTTATGCATATAGGGAAAATCAATGACCCCCTGGGGCGGGGCCAATTTTGACCCCAGGGCTTTTATTTGAACAAACTTGGTAGACATTCACTAGAAGATGTTTCATGCCAAATATCTAAGCTCTAGCTCTTACAGTTCTTTAAAGGAAGATTTTTTAAGTGTTTACTATATGCATATAGGGAAAATCAATGACCCCCGGGGCGGGGCCAATTTTGACCCAGGGCTTTTATTTGAACAAACTTGGTAGACACTCACTAGAAGATGTTCCATGCCAAAAATCTTAGCTCTAGCTCTTACAGTTCTTTAAAAGAAGATCTTTTAAGTTTTTACTATATGCATATAGGGAAAATCAATGACCCCCCGGGGGCGGGGCCAATTTTGACCCCAGGGCTTTTATTTGAACAAACTTGGTAGACACTCATTAGAAGATGTTTCATGCCAAATATCTAAGCTCTAGCTCTTAGGTTTGTTTAAAAGAAGATATTTAAAGATTTTTCTTTCGGTTGCCATGGCAACCAGAGTTCTGCATGGAATTAAATTCTTTGAACAATTTTTAAAGGTGACCACCAAAGGAACATTCCTGTGAAGTTTGGATGAAATTGGCTCAGTGGTTTATGAGGAGATGTCATTTAAAGCAAAAGTTTACGGACGGACGACGGACGGACGGACGGACGCCGGACGAAAAGCGATCACAAAAGCTCACCCTGTCACTTTGTGACAGGTGAGCTAAAAATGGCGACAGATTCAATCAATTTTCACCGATAGAATGATTAAAGACACCTGCATATACATAATTGCTGCGGTGTTTTGGCTAGTAAAGATAAATAATGCCCAACGTCTTAAGTGTGGTTATGTTCGAAACCTCGATTGTTAATATTTTTTTTCGGAGCACTTATCTGTAGAAATTATCATATGTGAAGATTTGTATCTAATGTTTTATTAATACATTGAACTCTATAAAGTAAACAGGCTGATTATACAAAATTAAATGTCTCTACAGTAACATCTCATTAGTCAAATTGAAATTAAACATTTTTTTACAAACAGATTTATCAACATAAATTACATTTTTAATCAATATTTAACTTTTAAATACTAATGTAACGGTGTAGTTTATAATCTTAACCAATTATACATGCAATTGTAATACTGTCTTGTTTTTTATAAATGATATTTGGTATGTTTAATATCAATAAAAAATATAATTTAACCCTAAGTATGGTACTATCCTGCTTTTCAACAAAATATTGGTATGATATGCTCATATATCCGAATTATGTAACTAGAACTCTGTGAGTCGGATGTGTCGCCTTGTGAACAATATAGTTTAGGAGAAATGGCCAGGAAAAAAATGAAATATGAAAACTAACAAAGGTTAATAACTCAAAATATAATAAGTGCAGAGCAACAGTTTCTATGTACTGCACTTCTTATCAAGATCTATCATTCTTTGAAGTTTCAAGTCAATATCTTTTATAAGTTATGAGAAATAGCCTGGACAAAAATAAAGTATGAAAATTAATAAAGGGTAATAACTCACAAATAAGAAGTGCAGAGTACCGGTTCTTAAACACTGCACTTCTTCTTAATGAGATCTATCATCCTATGAAATTTCATGTCCATAGCTTTCATATTTGGGGAGAAATGACTGGGACAAAGTATGAAAATTAACAAAGGGCAATAACTCAAAAAATAAGATATGCAGAGTACTGGTTCTTGTGCACTGCACTTCTTCTTAATGAGATCTATTATCCTATGAAGTTTCAAGTCCATAGCTTTTATACTTTTGGAGAAATGGCCCGGACAAAAATAAAGTATGAAAATTAACAAAGGGCAATAACCCAAAAAATAAGAAATGCAGAGTAACACTTCTTGTGCACTGCACTTCTTCTTAATGAGATCTATCATCCTATGAAGTTTCAAGTCCATAGCTTTTACACTTTAGGAGAAATGGCCTGGACAAAAATAAAGTATGAAAATTAACAAAGGGCAATAACTCAAAAAATAAGAAATGCAGAGTACCAGATTTTATGCACTGCACTTCTTCTGAATGAGATCTATCATCCTATGAAGTTTCAAGACCATAGCTTTTATACTTTAGGAGAAATGGCCCGGACAAAAATAAAGTATGAAAATTAACAAAGGGCAATAACTCAAAAAATAAGAAATGCAGAGTACCGGTTCTTGTGCACTGCACTTCTTCTTAATGAGATCTATCATCCTATGAAGTTTCAAGTCCATAGCTTTTATAGTTGAAGAGAAATGGCCCGGACAAAATTAAAGTATGAAAATTAACAAAGGGCAATAACTCAAAAATTAAGAAGTGCAGAGTACCGGTCCTTGTGCACTGCACTTCGGGTTATTGAAAGAAGCTTGCATACCAAGTTTGAAGTCAATCAGACTTAAAGTGAACGAGTTATGCTCAGGACAAGCTTAAGGGGACGTCGACAACGACGCCGACACCGCCGACAAAAGTAATCCCTATCTGTCACCTTTTTAAGGCGACACAAAAACTGTCCACAGTGACTCCCTGTCTATAATGACCTTTTTTCTCTTCTCCCATCGAAGGTCACTGTAAACAGTTTTTACTGTACCAAGTTTAAAATGGATAGTTTTATAGTCTCTGAAAAAATGGACCCTTAACGAAAATGTTTATGACCAATGGCACCAACCCCTTCAAAAAATAACTTACAACACAATTTTACTGCTTTTTTAAATTTGTTTAAAAGAAAAATTATTAGATAAGGCTTTATACCCATTAAGCTAAGCCTGTACTATCCAACTATTTATGACCTGATGTGACTAAATGTTATCAAATAAAGAACATTGTATTATACCTGCCAAGTATGTCATCTAGGGAGTCTCTACTAGAACCTTTCTTCATGTTGGTAAAGTTTTTACTAATTGTATCAGGATTCATTGCACTAAAATTATCATCAAAACCACCTGAAACACAAAATCACACTAATTTATAGATCTATCTTACATACATTTACATTCTAATATGCAATAAATTGGTAATTATTGTTCAATAATTTATTACTTTCACACTTTCACTTATTGTATCATGATAATGAAAATCTGTTAAAACCTGTCTTCTACAACTCCTTGATTGCTTTTTCTTTCCACGAGTTACATCATAACTTTTAAGCCTTCAATGTGTCTCAAGTTTTGATTTAAGTTAAACACATCACAAGTCATGGTTTAACAAACAAGAGGGCCATGATGGCCCTGAGGTCGCTCACCTGTATAAAGGCACGCAGAGCGGGGCCAGTTTAAACCCCAGGGCTTTTATTTGAACAAACTTGGAAGACACCCATTAGAAGATGTTTCACGATGTTAAGTTTTTACTACACACATATAATGAAAAACAACGATCTACCCCCCCCATCCCCCCCCCCTGGCAGGGCCAATTTTAACCCAAGGGCTTTTATTTGAACAAACTTCTTAGACACCCATAAGAAGATGTTTCATGCTAAACATCTAAGCTCTAGCTCATTGGGTTTTTTTAAAAGAAGATTTTTTAAGTTTTTACTATACACATATAGTTAAAACCAATGACACCCCTGGGGCGGGGCCAATTTTGACCCCAGGGCTTTTATTTGAACAAACTTTGTAGACAATTACTAGAAGATGTTTCATGCTTAATATCTAAACTCTAGCTATTTGGGTTTTTTCAAAGAAGATTTTTAAGTTTTTGCTATATACATATAAGGAAAATCAATGACCCCTGGGGCGGGGCCAATTTTGACCCCAGGGCTTTTATTTGAACAAACTTGGAAGACACCAATTAGAACATGTTTCATGCTAAATATCTTAGCTCTAGCTCTTTGAGTTCTTTAAAAGAAGATTTTTTAAGTTTTTACTATATGCATATAGGGAAAATCAATGACCCCCTGGGGCCGGGCCAATTTTGACCCCAGGGCTTTTATTTGAACAAACTTGGTACACACTCATTAGAAGATGTTTCATGCCAAATATCTAAGCTCTAGCTCTTTGGGTTCTTTAAAAGAAGATTTTTTAAGTTTTTACTATATGCATATAGGGAAAATCAAAGACCCCCTGGGGCAGGGCCAATTTTGACCCCAAATATCTAAGCTCTAGCTCTTAGGGTTTTTTAGAAGAAGATATTTAAAGTTTTTTCTTTCGGTTGCCATGGCAACCAGAGTTCTGCATGGAATTATATTCTTTGAACAATTTTTAAAGGTAACTACCAAAGGAACATTCCTGTGAAGTTTTGATGAAATTGGCTTAGTGGTTTATGAGGAGATGTCATTTAAAGTAAAAGTTTACGGACGGACGGACGCCGGACGGACGCCGGACGAAAAAAGATCACAAAAGCTCACCCTGTCACTTTGTGACAGGTGAGCTAAAAATATAATAATAATTTAACACATGATTATTAATGTGCATAAACAGAACAAAATGTTCAAGAATATTATTCTGCTATTTTAAGTAGGGTTTTATTAGTTTAGCAATGCCTTTGTGCATGCACCACTCACTTTTAAGGCATTTACTACCATAATTATTTCATACAAGCATTAAAGAATTTTTTTTTTCATTAAAACAAAACAATAATTTTTGCAGCATTTTTACACATTTAACTGTATTCTATATAAACTTTTTCCCCTTTATGGCATGGTTCAAATGACTATGTTTTCAAATACACCCAGTTCAAAAATATTTAATTATAGATTGGTTTCTTAAACATAGACTCCTAATAGTTCAACTCATTTTCATTTTCAATATAGAATAGTTTTACAAAAATGCGCTTTAATCTTTTGTTAATTACTTGCTCATCTGTCAAACTAAAACAGGACAAAAATTGAATAGGTTCAATAATTTAATAACAGATGTTCAGTTTAAATATTTATATTTAACACAGCACAAAAACAACATACTAGCATACCCTCTAGATAAACTTACCACTATTTCTGGGTGAACGTTTAGAGGTGTCACTATTCTTGGGTGAACGTTTAGAGGTGTCACTATTCTTGGGTGAACGTTTAGAGGTGTTATTTTCTATATTCATGTGTTTCAGTGGGTCAAAAACATCTGCTGCAAAGGGATTATCTTCCTTTGGAGAAGTGGAAAACCCTGCAGTGACAGTCTGTGACCTGTATTTGTCCAACCAACTAAAACTTGATGGTAAACCAAATCCTACATTTTGTGTTTGAACTGAAACAAATATAAAATGCATGAGGTAATTATGACTTGAATTTTGATTGTTTTATACAAAAGGTAAATGCAGACATTCAGTCTAGTCAACTTTTGTCTAATCTGTATGTACATTTGATTGACAAATTTGAACCTGCATTTTATCTTGATAATTTATTCATTAAATCCTACAGACAAAATTTATCTCGTATTAGGTTATCTTCTCATAAATTAAAGATAGAGGCAGAGAAGTATGGCCCTAAAAGACATCCATGATCAGAAAGAAAATGTGAATTATGTAATCTTCAAGAAATTGAGGATGAATTTCATTTTATTATCATTTGCAATTGTTATACTGCATTACGTAGGGAGTTCATTAAGCCATATTATTACAGAAGGCCGAGTATGTTTAAATTTTTGCAGCTTTTGAAGTCAAAAAACTAGAACTGCCACTATCATGGCGTGAATACCCCCGCATACCACTTTGTCAGAATCAACAGTGGCCATTTAGAGCTCAAGGACAACCTCCCTGCCAAATCTGAGGTTACTAAGCCAGTGCATTGCTAAGTTATGTATTCTACATGCTTCAAATGTGAAAATGTCAAAATCAATACATTGCGGACAGGACATTCTTTAGCAATTGAGAAGAAAAGCTTTTTTTTTGTCAAGGTCCCTGTGACCTTGACCTTTGACCCAGTGACCTCAAAATCAATAGCGGTCACCTTATAGTCATGATCAACATCCATGCCAAATATGAAGACTGTGGGTCAAAGGAATCTTAAGTTAATGGGTGGACAAACTTTTTGAAGTCAAAGTCCCTATGACCTTGACCTTTGATCCAGTGACCTCAAAATCAAAAGGGGTCATCTACTAATCATGATCAACATCCATGCCAAATATGAAGAATGTGGGTCAAAGGAATCTAAAGTTATTGGGCAGACAAACTTTTTGAAGTCAAAGTCCCTGTGACCTTTGACCTGGTGACCTCAAAATCAATAGGGGTCATCTACTAATCATGACCAACCTCCATTCCAAATATGAAGACTGTGGGTCAAAGGAATCTTAAGTTATAGGGCGGAAAAGCTTTTTGAAGTCAAGGCCCCTGTGACCTTGACCTTTGACCTGGTGACCTCAAAGTCAATAGGGGTCATCTACTAATCATGACTAACCTCCATGCCAAATATGAAGACTATGGGTCAAAGGAATCTTAAGTTATTGGGCGGACAAGCTTTTTGAAATCAAGGCCCGTGACCTTGACCTTTGACCTGGTGACCTCAAAATCAATAGGGGTCATCTACTAATCATGACTAACCTCCATGCCAAATATGAAGACTATGGGTCAAAGGAATCTTAAGTTATTGGGCGGACAAGCTTTTTGAAGTCAAGGCCCCTGTGACCTTTGACCTGGTGACCTCAAAATCAATAGGGGTCATCTACTAATCATGACTAACCTCCATGCCAAATATGAAGACTAAGGGTCAAAGGAATCTTAAGTTATTGGGCGGACAAGCTTTTTGAAGTCAAGGCCCCTGTGACCTTGACCTTTAACCTGGTGACCTCAAAATCATTAGGGGTCATCTACTAATCATGACTAACCTCCATGCCAAATATGAAGACTGTAGGTCAAAGGAATCTTAAGTTATTGGGCGGACAAGCTTTTTGAAGTCAAGGCCCCTGTGACCTTGACCTTTGACCTAGTGACCTCAAAATCAATAGGGGTCATCTACTAATCATGACTAACCTCTATGCCAAATATGAAGACTAAGGGTCAAAGGAATCTTAAGTTATTGGGCGGACAAGCTTTTTGAAGTCAAGGCCCCTGTGACCTTGACCTTTAACCTGGTGACCTCAAAATCAATAGGGGTCATCTACTAATCATGACTAACCTTCATGCCAAATATGAAGACTGTAGGTCAAAGGAATCTTAAGTTATTGGGCGGACAAGCTTTTTGAAGTCAAGGCCCCTGTGACCTTGACCTTTGACCTATTGACCTCAAAATCAATAGGGGTCATCTACTAATCATGACTAACCTCCATGCCAAATATGAAGACTAAGGGTCAAAGGAATCTTAAGTTATTGGGCGGACAAGCTTTTTGAAGTCAAGGCCCCTGTGACCTTGACCTTTGACCTAGTGACCTCAAAATCAATAGGGGTCATCTACTAATCATGACTAACCTCCATGCCAAATATGAAGACTAAGGGTCAAAGGAATCTTAAGTTATTGGGCGGACAAGAAAAAACCGACGGACGGACAAGCTGATTCCAGTATACCCCCCTTACAACTTTGTTGTGCGGGGGTATAATAAATCCGAATTAATTGGACTTGCTAAATACATCATCTTTGCTACTAAGCGTAAATATGATCTAATTAATATTACCATTTAAAAACTATTTTTTCCAGTATGTGCATGATAATTTTGTTCATTAAAAGAGGCAGTATGGTATTTATCATGTATTTTGAATCGTTGATTCACTACATAATAAATATATGAAAGTCATTTTTGCAACATATTAATTAGAGCAATGCCACTTTGTATTGTTTAAATATGGATTTAAGAACATTCTCCATATATACTTTTGTAAAACAATGTTTGTTTTCAATATGATCATACCATGACTTATGATTTATGTATTACGTTTTTTGTATTATGACTATGTACAAATATGTATACGTCAATAAATTATATCTATCTATGACCACAATTGAAACCTTCAAATTCAATCATAACTTTATAAAAGATAATAAGCAACAGCACTTTTGCTTATTAAAATAAATGATATTTCAAGAAGATGACATAATTACCAAAATTACAAGAGCAATGATAGACATAACATCTTATTCACGATTTTTGAATAATACGTTATTGTACTGCTGTACTACTATGACCCTACCTCAATAATTACAATTTTTTATACTGTGGTCATTGACAGGATATCAAGGTCATTGTCAGTGACCTATCATTATGACCCTTAATATATAAGTAAAATTCAGTTGAAAACCTTGAGCTTAAACATAGAAAAAAAAGATGCACATAAAACTGTAACTAAAATATAAACTTATCCCAATACCAATATAAATATAGGTAGTAAAGATCCCCAATCCTTTACAATAGAACAAAACAGTTCTGCTAAAGATTTAAATAGAGCTGACATTGATTCAGTGTAAAGCATATTGACTTCATATCAGTAACGGATGAAAAATATCGACTATACATCAATATATTGACAATTTCTTATAATTACATGTACTTGTCTATTATTCACTTTTATACCTGTTTAAATATTGTCAGTAAAATACATGTTCTACATAGAATTATGATGTGTCTTCTTTATAAATGCCCATTCCATGTTATTTTTTTTCTATTTGTTGTCATAGCACTGCTATAAAATGTGTCCATTATGTAAGATCATAGATTACTGCAACATGTTCTGGATGAATTTTCATAATTTCTTGACATTTAATTAATAAGTCAAAATTGTTAAAATTTTTTCCAAATGTGCATAAATAATTGATTGAAAGATAAATATCAAGGATACATTGATATTGTTTCTATTGATCTATCTTAAATCAAAAATCTCATTTTTTTACTTTAAGTACTATTTGAATTGTAATACTTACGAGCAACAGCTCTGTTTACGTCTTCTATAAATTTTTTAGTTTCCGGCCCTTGTAGATTTAAAACGTACTTCTGCTCCTTTACTTGCAGCCACAAGAAGCCAGCTTCTATAATATAATATCACTCTTATACATATTGAATAACCAGTACATTATTGTAACATGTATATGTTGAAATGTTAAATATCCAGTCATAAAAATATCACACATTATTGTAACATGTATATGTTGAAATGTTAAATATCCAGTCATAAAAATATCACACATTATTGCAACATGTATATGTTGAAATGTTAAATATCCAGTCATAAAAATATCACACATTATTGTAACATGTATATGATGACATGTTAAATATCCAGTCATAAAAATATCACACATTATTGTAACATGTATATGATGAAATGTTAAATATCCAGTCATAACAAAAAATGGGGAAAAAAAGAAGAAATAAAAGAAATTTAGAATTTTCCAAAGATTGAAAACATAATGTGACCACACTGACCAGGTATGACTTAATGTAGTCTTACTGTAATGCTTTTCAACCAAAAACAAATCTATAGCATCGACCAATAGCGTAGCAAATTGGTTATTTCCAGAACATTTTTTTTTTCTTCTTCAAAATCTTGGACATTACATTATTTACAATCAGTCATCCTTTATCTCATTGTACTAATGTCCAGTTATAAACAGTTAGAAATTATTGAATACCGAAGTTTGTGAAAAAAAAAACGTTCATGAAAAGACCGATTTATTACGATATTCAACTTGGCCGATGTTCAATTTTTTGGCGGGAAAGCATTACTGTACAGTAAGACTACCTTAATTCATAATTCAACTAATGAATTTATGCAGGCTATTATTTCAAGGCTGAATCTGACAACCTATAAGCGTATTATGAGAGGTGAAAGGTTAAGGGTAAACAGCATATGTTACCATTGATTTATATATAATCCTACAGCAATATTCCTACACTGTAATACAATTCAACTGATTTAATGCATACAGCTGTCATTTCTTTAAACAGAAGAATTGAATTTTTTTATTTCTTATTTTCCAGCCATTCTTATTTGCTAAACATCATAAAACAGTTCTGATCTATATTGGATTTCTTTATTTTATTATTCACAATCTTCAAGATGTGTATGATCCTGTAACATTTGAATAACGGAAATGTTTTTGATATTACTTTATTATAGTTTCCTTAAAAGAGCTCCAAATAGGTCCAAAAGCATAAAATTTGAGAAATTCTTTCATAGTGTGACACTTGACATAAAAAAATATGAAAAATTTATGTTTTGTGAGATTCTAAACCTGAATAAAAGTGATATGAGTAAAAATCATTTATATGCTTTTTGTTTTTGGCCCAATTTGCACAATTAAAATGACATACAATTTTGTAAGTCCCCATATGAAACCTTTATCTACTGAAATCTTTATCCAAATACCAAAATCCTTGTTTCCCATAATTTTTATCATATAGCAATTACCTTGTTTAGTAGATTTTTCTTTCTGAGGCGGTTCTGAAAAATACAAATCATCCAATAAATAATAAACTTAAGTCGTCTTAACAAGTTTACCAATATGATAATACTAATACAATATAATAAAGTTGGAAAAATAATCCTTTAACATAAGGACTCTCTTGTGACACAGCTTTTCTTTATGTTTTTAATAAACCATTTTTAGTTGACTCTAAAACACCAGCTGGTACTATTATATATCTAACTTCAATATTGACATTTGAATTCTAAGTCTTACCTTGACCTTAGAAGTAGCATGCCTCCATAGTTATGTTAATTTATACAAAAATCTAAAAATAGCTTTAATTTTATAGGTACCGGTAGATTGATTGATAGATTAATTTCATTATACAATGGAATAACATGGCACACCATATAATACAAAGACAGACCCAAGATGTTTGAATTGATAAAACAAAAATGTTTTAAAGTTGTCAAGTTTACATATAAAGTGTTAGCCATGCATAAGGCACACTGAAAATAAATATAACATGTTAAAATATGCAAAAATAGCACTTGCTTCATAATCAACAGGGTAGAATACAGCACTTAATCATCATGCAAAGTACGGATGTACTGACTACCCATTTCTTTTATTTCTTTCAGCACATTAAGTAACGTAAATATGTCTTTTATCAGTCTGGTACTCATAGACAAATATACAGTTTGCATTGCTTGTAGATGAACAGTAAATTCTGTTATATTCTCAACCAAAAAAGAAACTTTCGCAAAGTATGTGCCAGTTGTTCAAGGGTACCACTTAGATGTGCACACTTATATACATGTAGTAGCTTGTAAAACTCGTTTTGTTTGCAAAATCGGTCAGCTAATCCCCGTATAAAAGCCCGATATGTTTATTCAATGTAAAACTCAAGTTTCAAAAGGATTGAAAAACTGTACTAACATATCTACATTCAAACTTGGAGAAAGTTTCTTTTTTGTTTCAGTATATATTTTGCATAAAGCAGGTAGTATTACTTGGATTATGAATATTCTTACATTTTGTTAATTATTACATTTGGTTTATACAGAATTTATTTTAGTTTGATTGTGTAGGAAGCTATAAGCTTATAGACACACTTTCGAATCCGTTCCTGGAACCAACCAGTACTGAGCAATGAGTGTAAAGTTTCTTGCTCAAGGAAACAACGACTTGCCCCTGATAGGGTTTGAACCCACGCGGCTAGCGATCATTGGATTACTAGTCCGACTATTAACCACTTGGCCATGCAGCCACTTGAAAGTATTACATTTGTAGTTTATTATAAGGCATGCAACTTTAAACTAGAGTCAAGGAATATACTCAACAACTGACATATTATAGAATAAAATATTTCCCAGAAGTAAAGACATGGAAATCCTGGTCATACATCAACTTACAGGAAAACATACATGATAAAATATAACTTTCCTGTTTAAGACATGGTACAAAATTTAATTTAATATTGATTTTATATTTATCTCAAGCTGTCAATCAAACTTGATGAAACTCTGAATATTGCATGCTGACAGAATCTTATATTTTTCTGCTAATTACACTTTGTACAATACAGGTGATGTTATTCTACATGAACAGACAAATAGTGGTTAGCAGCTTCAAATATAATATAAAATATTGATACAGCAAAGATTCTCTATCTTTAAAACTAAAGTCTATTTAATAATCATATAAACAAACAACTGTGGTATGTTTCTTGTTAGCTCTGGTTCATCCATGTGGATATTCTGTTCAGCTAATTAAACTTCCTTGTCAACCAAATCTTTAAGAGACATAGAATTCTGTCAGGCTAGTAACTATCCAGCTAGTTTATCAGCATTAAAAGATTCTACCAACGAGCCTGGTTGTGCAGGAAATATATCATATAGGGCTACCTGTATCTTCCTCCAACAGGTAAGCTGGAATATTGCAATGTATCCTGAACAATGACCAAAAATTCAACCAGGAACAGCAACCACATATCCGTAACATAAAGTAAATGTACAGTCAGTCATTCATTTTTTATTTTACTATTTAATTTACCTACATCTACAAGAGTGTAAGATATAAAGTTCAATTACCTGAGACACATCTTAAATCAGAGTCAATAGGTATAACTTGGACTAATCTTAAATCACCTGTTGACAAACATGGACTGGTTTTACTTGAATATATAAACAATCTGAAATAATAAATGAATATAATACAGTCTACATAATTATATAAATAGCAGCAATCTCATACAAACTTTTAATTAATACATGTATATCATACAACAATTTGCAATATTAATATTCAATTAAAAGCTCCTGCATAAAGTCTCTTAACGTTAAGTCTAACCAAATGGTTCATAGGTGCTACTGCCTGGATGTTTCTATTCAATGTTACAAGAATTTTACACTGGCGTCAATGCTATATAGCTATAAAGCTTAATGTGATGTTGGAGGATAACAATGTGCAATGTCCAATGGCAACATCACTTTTCAGACCGCTGATATTACCTAACATCCCTAAGGCACATACTGACAGCTGGGTTTTAGTTGTAATATGTCTTTCAAGATTATCAATTTGTTTGATTAATAAAATAAATATCATCCCACTGCAGGTGATCAAATAAAGTGTTTACCCTAGACAAGTTCATCTAACGCCTTGGCTGTCATCGCTTGTCTTGGGTGAACATTTAATTCTATCGCCCTCAGTGAAAAGTGATATTTATATTTTTTTTTTTCAATTTTTATGTCATTACAAATCCTGTTACTCTATAAACACTTACAGTAAGTGTTCATAGAGTTAAAAACAACAGTAATGATTTCTTAATATCTCTTTACTTTTGTTTAGTTGCATAAACTTAATTTAAATTATTTTGATACTGAAATCCTTAATCCCTTACAATGGACAGTCCCTAATTCAAATGGACAGTCCCTAATTCAAATGGACAGTCCCTTATTCAAATCGAAAGTCCCTAAATCAAATGGACAGTCCCTAATTCAAATCGAATGTCCCCAATTCAAATGGACAGTCCCTAATTCAAATGTAAGTTTGAATGTAGAAATAAACCCCAGTTTCAATTTGAAAATGTAATTATCTTATTTGAAAAATATACAATGTTTCGACTCAAAAGTCTTCATCAGGTATACTTTGTTTACAGGAAATGGATAGTTCCTAATTCAAATCGAAAGTCCCTAATTCAAATCAACAGTAATTTATTCAAATTGACAGCCATATTGAGCCATTTATTCAAATAGACAGTACCTAATTCAAATGCACAGTCATTTATTCAAATTGACAGCCCTTTATTCAAATGTATAGTCCAATTCAAGCGAATCCAACATTCCCTTATTCGAATAGCCAGTCCCTTACTCTATTTCAAATGTACATTCCCTAAATCTATTGGACAGTTTCATAATTCTAAAAGAAAATTTTGTAATTGAATTGAATAAGGCCTTATTCAAGTAAACACAGCTCCTAATTACCTATTAGTAACCTAATTCAAATGAACAGTACCTCAAATTCAAATGAACAGTACCTAATTTAAATGAACAGTACCAATTCAAACGAATTGTTTCTAATTCAAACAGAAGTACCTAATTCAAAGCTGAACAAGTATGTTGCATAATCTAGTAGGAATAGCCATTAAACTTAAGTTAACATTTGTGAAATAAAAGAAATGTTTACTTCTTACTCGTTTCAAATCAAGATCAGCAAGATTGTGTTAACTTATCCTTCCTTCAACAGTTAAATATACTGAATGAAGCACAAGAGTTATTATTGCAGCTTTGTTGAATTCCTGTTTACACGTAACCTTTCACAAAAACGAGAGAATAACCAGGAAACAAAAATCTTTTATAAAATCAAAATTAATGCATCTGAAAAGATTTTAGTTTCTGTTTACTTCTTAACATGATAATTTCTATGGAACACTGTCCTTGACATGCAGCACTGTAGTCCAATCAAATATAAATACTAACAATTACCTTTTATAGCGGTAACAATAGTTGGGTTACACCAAAAACCTTGTCAATTTACCCCTCTCATGTGATCATAATTATTTTGAGTTTAAATATACACATGTATTTATTCAAGCTCAATTATTAAACAAGTTCTTAAAACTTATATATGAATCATTTTAAAAGTCCAATGTACACAACATTACCGATATATCTCTAATATTTCATTATGCTATACTGTAAAAAGTATTTATTATAAGTCAGCAATTAAAGTTACACCTGATCTTACATATTTTTATATATATCAGAGGCTCATATAAGATATATTGCTATTCAGTAAAGTACAGTAGACATCTTATTTATAACCCAAATTATCTTTTATAATGAGTACATCCAATTATTTACTACACAGATAAATTCACAGTAATAATATTTTCTGTTTATTCAAATAATCACAACCAGACTATTAAAAATATAATAACTTATTAACTTATCAATTTATCAGAAGTTTTTTTTAACTTTATTTGCTAAAAACTTGACATAGATAGATAAAATTATATGTTAACACGACAACATCCTTAATTAGTGTATAAACTGACAATTAACTCACTGTCAATCATGGTTGCAAGTCTTTCATTGATAAAATATACTTCCTTAATGTTGTTTATCATGATAACAGATGTTGGCAAAACAGGGAAGTATTAAAGGACCTACAGGCCAAATGACATGTCACATTCTGTATATAATAAACAAAGGCTACAATGGATATTTACCCTAAATCATAACCTTAGTGCAGTAACTGGTTAACCCTTTCTGTAATTTCATAGGAGTTAATATGTTACTGCACTGAGGAGATGAAATATGTATAATTTGTATTATGGACTTGTTTTGCCTGTCTAATATGTTAAAAGGACTCCGCTGAAGTACTTTGACTTAATGGAACTGGAAATATTTTCTGAGATTTGTGTTTGTTTGATTTGGGTTTTACGTCACACATAGCTGGATAGCTTCCTCACATGAAAGAATCCAAAGTCCCTGTCGGGACTCAAACCCACAGCGGTGAGGGGCAAGTGGTTTGAAGTCAACGACCTTAACCTCTCCGCCACGGACGCCCCTGAGATTTGTGTACAATTTAATGTAGGTATGGACAAATCAATACCTCGTCTGCAAAATTTCAAATCATTCCCTCATCCCTTTTTTAAGAATCATTATTTTTATTGTGCAAAATGACCAAAGTTAACCTGTAAACACTGTTGTTTTGTTGTTTTATAGTCTCACAGACCATAAAAGTGTCGTCTGGCATCTTCCTAGAAATGTCATAGTAGCCCTTACATGCATTGTTTCATACAGCACTGGGCAGCACAGTGGAAATACTGACCTTACCTCAAATATCACATAAAATTATTGAAACAAGTAGTGGAGAGGAAAACATTATTAAACATAACACTGTCTTGTAGTCAAAGTATACCAATCATCAGAAAATAATTATTTGTATAAAATGTCAGAACATTATTATTATGATATATTGTAAGAATGTAATTCTGGTTGTAAGAATGTTATTCTGGTACACTGTGTCAAATAAGTATTCAAAATATCAGAAAATAATCCTGGTATACTATGACAGAAAATTATTCTTTTATAGAATATCAAAACATAATTCTAATATAAAATGCAATAACATAAACCTGGTATACTATATATAAAGAACAAATACAAGTATAAGATGCCAGAACATAATTCTGGTTTGGAATGTCAGAACATAATTCTGGTTTGGAATGTCAGAACATAATTCTGGTTTGGAATGTATAGAATGTCAGAACATAATTCTGGTATAGAATGTCAGAACATAATTCTGGTATAGAATGTTAGAACATAATTCTGGTATAGAATGTCAGAACATAATTCTGGTTTAGAATGTCAGAACATAATTCTGGTATAGAATGTCAGAACATAATTCTGGTATAGAATGTCAGAACATAATTCTGGTATAGAATGTCAGAACATAATTCTGGTTTGAATGTCAGAACATAATTCTGGTATAGAATGTCAGAACATAATTCTGGTTTGGAATGTCAGAACATAATTCTGGTATAGAATGTTAGAAAATAATTCTGGTATAGAATGTTCTGGTATAGAATGTCAGAACATAATTCTGGTATAGAATATCAGAACATAATTCTGGTATAGAATGTTAGAACATAATTCTGGTATAGAATGTCAGAACATAATTCTGGTATAGAATGTTAGAACATAATTCTGGTATAGAATGTCAGAACATAATTCTGGTATAGGATATCAGAACAATATTCTAGATTAGAATGTCATTACATAATTCTGGTATAGAATGTCAGCACATAATTCTGGTATAGAATGTCAGAACATAATTAGAATGTCAGAACATATAATTCTGGTATAGAATGTCAGAACATAATTCTGGTATAGAATGTCAGATCATAATTCTGGTTTAGAATATTCTTAGGTAAAAAAAGGTTAGAAAGAGTATGGTATAAAATAAAAAGAAAAATTAGGGGATAAAAATCTAAATTTTTAAACACATTGGAACAGTGAGAACACAATTATGAATAAAATTACAAAGCAAAAAAAGGGTAAAAAATTCAAAATATAATTTAAATTTTTGGGTATAAAATTAACCCATGATTCCTTCTCTCTATTAGACTGAATACTTCTTTTGTCACAACTCCGTCCCACAAAAAAAACCCCTAAAACACTAATAATGTTGGTACAAAAAAAATATTTATTTTTAATTTAAGATTATAAAATTTCTAAACTGTTCTTAACTAAAACTAAAAGATTTCCCTGAAAATTTATTCCACTGCATGACAGTAAAAAATGGGATAAATAGTAATTTGAGTTTTAACCGTGCCCAAATTTTTCCATACCAAACAATTAAAAAGTGTTTTTAAATTTTAAACCAATTCCTTACGCAGTTTAGGAATACCCCAATTGCACACAAAAACTTCCAAAAATTGACAGGGAAAGGATACGCCCAAACCCAAAACCCCCCCTATTTTTGAAGACTTTTTAAAACGGGAAAAAAATCTGAAAAATTATTACAATTTGGCAACTTCGTCATACTTTCTATATTTACTTGATAGTGGAAAAAAAAGGGTTTTAAAAAATTTTTCTTTTAATAAGGGAATAAGCAGAGGGCCCCGAGGCCCTAAGTCGCTCACCAGAAAATCTTTTCGTTTGGGTTCCTTGCAAATTTTTTAAAATTTTAAATTTGAGCATTTGAATATGTTTTTTTTTTTTTATTTTTAGTAAACCCTAAAGGGGGCCAATCATTAATTGAGCAAAATTTAAAAGACATAAGAAGTACAGAAAAGTTGGTTACAAACCCTCAAATTTTTGAGTAGAGTTTTAAATTTATTTTTATTTTTTTCTGTTTTACCCCTAAAAAGGGGGCCAAAAGAAATGAAAATAGCAATTCAAAAGTACTCACAAAGGATGCTACAACCCAAATTTTTATAAAACGCCCAGTATTTTTTGAAAAAAAAGACGTTTTTTTGAAAAGCATCACGGACAAATGAGGGGATCCCCCTTTATATAATAG